CAAAGGTGTTCGATGGGGTTGAGGTCAGGGCTCTGTGCAGGCCAGTCAAGTTCTTCCACACCAATCGACAAACCATTTCCATATGGACCTCGCTTTGTGCACAGGGGCATTGTCATGTTGAAACAGGAAAGGGCCTTCCCCAAACTGTTGCCACAAAGTTGGAAGCATAGAATCGTCTATGTCATTTCATGCTGTAGCGTTAAGATTTCCCTTCACTGGAACTAAGGGGCCTAGCCCGAACCATGAAAAACAGCCCCAGACCATTAATAGTCCTCCAAACTTTACAGTTGGCACTAAGCATTCGAGCAGGTAGCGTTCTCCTGGCATCGTCGGACTGACAGATGGTGAAGCGTGATTCGTCACTCCAGAGAATGAGTTTCCACTGCTCGTTCCAGAGGCAGTTTGGAACTCGGTAGTGAGTGTTGCAACTGATGATTTTTACGCGTTTAAGCGGTCCCGTTCTGTGAGCTTGTGTGGCCTACCACTTCGTGGCTGAGCCGTTGTTGCTCCTAGACATTTCCACTTCACAATAACAGCACTTACCTCCCGAGTGGCGCAGTGGTCTAAGGCACTGCATCGCAGTGCTAGCTGTGCCACTAGAGATCCTGGTTCGAATCCAGGCTCTGTCGTAGCCGGCCGCGACCGGGAGACCCATGGGGCGGCGCACAATTGGCTCAGCGTCGTCCAGGGTAGGGGAGGGAATGGCCGGCAGGGATGTAGCTCAGTTGGTAGAGCATGGCGTTTGCAATGCCAGGGTTGTGGGTTTGATTCCCACGGGGGGCCAGTATGAAAAATACAAAAAATAATGTATGCACTCATTAACTGTAAGTCGCTCTGGATAAGAGCGTCTACTAAATGACTAAAATGTAACTTACAGTTGACTGGGGCAACTCTAGCAGAGCAGGAATTTGACTTACTGTCTTGTTGGAAAGGTGGCATCCTTGACGGTGCCACGCTGAAAGTCACTGAGCTCTTCAGTAAGGCCATTCTACTGCCAATGTTTGTCTATGGAGATTGCATGGCTGCGTGCTCGATTTCATACACCTGTCAGCTGCACTGGACCTTTAAAGTATTATTTACAGTTTTACTGCAGTTTTACTGCAAGATATGAATTGCCTATGATGATTGATATTAATGTTTGTTCTTCAAATTACATATTTGATTAAAACAGACAAATGAAGTAAAAAAAAACAGATTATCTGAAAATCAATTAAATTAAAGATTAAATTATATCAGTCTCAAGTATTATATCTTTCTGATTTTACATAGCCTAAATTCATTTGAAATGACCATTATAAAGGGCTCTATAAATCTGGTATGTTTTCTGTTCTTTCCCAAATTCCGTTTTCTCCATTTTGTTTTTGCAGGTTTCTGTTTTTCCCCATTCTTTTCAGGTTTTCACTGTCAAAACCCAATTTTTATAGAAAAACTACAAAAATTCAAGTCCACACCTAGCCCACACCTAGCCCACACCTAGTCCACACCAAGCAAGAGGCTGTTTAGCGGTGGTTTTGTAGCGCACATGTGACGGTAAAGTAAGCAAAACAAATAACACTGGATTGATGAAAATAATCACGATATCATTCTGCCAGGTTAGCACAGGCTTCTTCGTCGTTAACATGTAATTGAGAAGGTTTTTGGGAAAGCCTTTCCCTCTCCCAGCAGACTGTTTTCATTAGCATCATCGCTAACGGCTACACAAAGTGGTAGACATGAGCACCACACACAGACGGGGGCATTCTCATCCACTCTTCAGAAAGTTGCAGGAAAACACTAAATCACTGATGCATTCTGTTCATGTCTTATGATAAACTTGGGCAAATTAATTAATTTCCAATCCATTCAGTTGATTCCCTACTAAGGTCAATAGATTTAGTTGATTCCCTACTAAGGTCAATAGATTTAGTTGATTCCCTACTAAGGTCAATAGATTTAGTTGATTCCCTACTAAGGTCAATATATTTAGTTGATTCCCTACTAAGGTCAATAGATTTAGTTGATTCCCTACTAAAGTCAATAGATTTAGTTGATTCCCTACTAAGGTCAATAGATTTTTTTTATATTGTTGAATTCCGTTTTAATGTGTGGATTCTGTGAGGACCCTAATGATCATATCTGGACCAGAACGAGGCTCTCCACTACCTGTTGTTCCTGCAGTGATTATTCACCATCTTCATAGCATGTTTTCATAATTCATCTGCAGATAATCAAAAAGTCTACCAGTAGCCTATGCAAAATAGGGAGCCAAATGAACGGCTTTCTCACTGATGCGAATCGGTAGGCTACACTGACTGACGAGACGATAATCACTCACTTTAGCATCACTCTGGCAAGCCCCAAAATCAAGGAAAGGAAACCTAGGAAATCCTTTGGTTTAATTGTCCCGATACGATACCATGGACATGCCAGAAAACAATCATTAGGCCAAGAGGATTTAGACGTGCCAGAAAACAATAGAGGAAGTCTACTCATCGTTACCACTTCCATTACACGGGACGTACAAATTCACGCAAATCCTGCTCTCCTCTGTGTAAAGAAATGCAACGGCCTTTTACAAAGCAGTAAAAGGTCTTTACGTGGCAGAAACCGATCATACGTGTTGTAAAAGGTCTTTACATGGCAGAAACCGATCATACGTGTTGTAAAAGGTTTTACATGGCAGAGAACCGATCATACGTGTTGTAAAAGGTCTTTACATGGCCAGAACCGATCATACGTGTTGTAAAAGGTCTTTACATGGCGAACCGATCATACGTGTTGTAAAGGGTATTTACATGGCAGAAACCGATCATACGTGTTGTAAAAGGTCTTTACAGAAGAAGAAACGATCATACGTGTTGTAAAGGTCTTTACATGGCAGAAACCGATCATAAGTGTTGTAAAAAGGCTTTACATGGCAAAAAAAAACCGATCATACGTGTTGTAAAAGGTCTTACATGGCAGAACCCGACATACGTGTTGTAAAAGGTCTTTACATGGCAGAAACCGATAATACGTGTTGTAAAAGGTCTTACATGGCAGAAACCGATCATACGTGTTTAAAAGGTCTTACATGGCAGAAACCGATCATCAACTTGTTGTAAAAGGTCTTTACATTGCAGAAACCGATCATAGTGTTTGTAAAAAGGTCTTTACATGGCAGAAACCGATCATACGTGTTGTAAAAGGTCTTTACATGGCAGAAACCGATCATACGTGTTGTAAAAGGTCTTTACATGGCAGAACCCGATCATACGTGTTGTAAAAGGTCTTTACATGGCAGAAACCGATCATACGTGTTGTAAAAGGTCTTTACATGGCAGAAACCGATCATACGTGTTGTAAAAGGTCTTTACATGGCAGAAACCGTCATACGTGTTGTAAAAAGGTCTTTACATGGCAGAAACCGATCATACGTGTTTGTAAAAGGTCTTTACATGGCAGAAAAACCGATCATACGGTGTGTTGTAAAAGGGTATTTACAATGGCAGAAACCCCGATCAGACGTGTTGTAAAAAGGTTCTTACATGTCAGAAACCGATCATACGTTTTGTAAAAGCGTCCCCCCCTGGTCAGAACCGTATTGTTAAAAGGTCTTTACATGGCAGAAGAACCGATCATACGTGTTGTAAAGGTCTTACATGGCGGGAAACGATCATACGTGTTGTAAAAGGTCTTTACATGGCAGAAAACCGATCATACGTGTTGTAAAAGGTCTTTACATGGCCAGAAACCGATCATACGTTTTTGTAAAAGGTCTTTACATGGCAGAAACCGATCATACGGGTTTGTAAAAGGTCTTTACATGGAGAAACCGATCATACGTGTTGTAAAAGGTCTTTACATGGCAGAAACCCATCATACGTGTGTAAAGGTCTTTACATGGCGAGAAACCGATCATACGTGTTGTAAAAGGTCTTACATGGCAGAGAAACCCGATCATACGTGTTGTAAAAGGTCTTACATGGCAGAAACCGATCATACGTGTTGGTAAAAGGTCTTTACATGCAGAACCGTCATAGTGTTGTAGGTTCAGTAGTTGTGAAGGCTGGTTTAGAACACAGGGGTCTAGTGGTAGATACCCAGGACCACATTATGGCCTGGAGCAGTGGTTCAATCCATTCCACCCAAATCCTGTGGCATCCCTCTGAATTCATCTATTAGTTATTCATCTCCCCATTTTCTACTTTTAAACTATATCTGTCAATCAAACGTCAAATACTTTAGATTTGTGTATGTCTACCTGCCAGCTGCTACTGAAGCTCCTGGTGGTGGTTAGTAGGGTTAGGGTGGTAGTGTGCACTAGGTAGTGTAGAGTGTATCTCTACCGGGCAGTGGGCTCTGAAGCCTCCTGTGTGGAGGCAGTAGGTTAGGGGTAGGTGCCAGGAGTATAGGCTTAACCTGCACGGTCTTAAGCCCTGGTGGTGGTTAGAGGGTTAGGGGGGTAGTGTGCATGTGTGGTGTATCTCACCTGCACAGTGTTATGAAGCCCCTGTGGGTGGTAGAGGGTTAGGGTGGTAGTGTGCACTAGGTGTGTATGTGTATCGAGCCAGGGTGCCTTGAAGCCTCCGGTGGGTGGTTAGAGGGTTATGGTGGTAGGTGCAGAGGTAGTGTATAGGTATCTTACTGCCAGTGCTCTCTGAAGCTCATGTGTGGTGGTAGAGGTTTGGGTGGTAGGTGCAAGAGAAGTGTATCAGACGCCAGTGTTGAAGCCCTGTGGGTGGTAGAGGAGGAGGGGGGTAGTGTGCACTAGGGTGTAGTAGTGTACTTAGCCAGAGACGAAGCCCGGTGGTGGGAGTAGGGGGGGTGGTTGGAAGGGAGGATAGTGAGAGGTCGGGGGGTGTTAGAGGGGGGTGAGATAGGTAGGATAGTGTATCCCGAGTGGAGAGCCCGTGTGGGGGTCAGAGGGTGGGGATGGTAGTGTGCACTAGGTGGGTATGAGACTAGGCCAGGACTGAAGCTCATGGTGGGGAGATGAGGGGGGTGGGAGAGTGTGATAGGGGTAGGTAGTGTATTCTACGGGCCCGGTGCTCTCTGAAGCCTCCTGTGTGGTGGTCAGCAGGCGTTGCAGCGTTGCCAACTTCTGCTCCAACATCGCTCCCTGTGTAGGGCCTCTGGTGGGGGGAGGAGGAGGGAGAGAGGAGAGGGGGGGTAGAGCAAGGAGGCAGAGGGGGGAGAGAGGGGGAGGGAGAGAGAGGGGGGACGAGAGGGGGGGAGAGGGGGGGCGAGGAGAGAGGGGGAGGCGAGGGGGCGAGGAAGAGAGAGGGGGTGACGAGCAAGAGAGGGGGGAGAGCAGAGAGGCGGGTGAGAGGAGAGGGGGGAAGCGGAGGGGGGGAGAGGGGCGAGCGGCGGGGGGCGAGGAGGGGGGGCATGGGTGGCGTGCGAGCGAGGGGGGGACGTGAGCGGCCTAGGGGGGAGACCGCAGAGCGGGGCAGCGGTGGGAGAGAGGGGAGGATGAGGGGAGAGGCAGACGAGAGGGTGGAGGAGAGGGGGAGTGAGGAGAGATGGGGGAGAGAGGAGGATGAGGGGGGAGGGGATGGGAGGAGAGATGGGGGGAGAGCTGAGAGCTGAGGGGGTGTGAGATGAGGGGAGAGAGAGAGAGAGAGGCCGTGGTGGGAGAGAGGAGAGAGAGGGGGGGGGGGGCGAGAGAGAGAGAGGAGAGAGAGAGGGGGGAGAAGAGGAGAGACGAGGGGGGAGAGAGAGAGAGAGGGGGGGGAGATGCGAGAGAGGGGGGGAGGAGAGAGGACAGAGGGGGCAGGGAGGGAGGGGAGAGGAAGAGGACAGAGGGGAGAGAGAGGGGGGGGAGAGAGAGAGAGGGGGAGAGAGAGGGGGGGGAGAGAGGGGGGGGAGGGGAGCGGGGCGGAGAGGATGGGAAAGAGAAAGCGACATTAGCACTCAGCACAAGCAACTGAATGCAGAGCTCAAATCAAATCAAATGTTATTTGTCATCTGCTTTGTAAACACCAACAGGTGTGTACACTAACGGTGAAATGCACATAAAAAAAATACACAGTGAATAACGAATAACAATGAGGAAACATAACATATACAGGGTTATATACAGGGATCAAGCTGTATCTTTCGTCAGACATCCATCTACTGAGCTTGTCTGATGCTTTAAGCACTGTGACAAAAAATGAAGACACACATTACTAAAGAGGGAGCCAGAGATCAAGATGCCTAACCAGAAGTAAAAAAAACCTGTTCCGGACCGCGACCCCCCCTCCTCCTCCCGTCCTTCACAGATTCCTGAAGTAGCCGGTAGTAGGCTACACTAGCGTTCGGCAACCTCTTCCATTTGGAGAGCCAAGTTATCTACTGATCTTCCTACCAGTTATGATTTTCATATGCACAAGTTTCTTGGAACAGTTTCATTTCATTTATAAATAACATCTTCATATGTCAAAATCATTGTCATGTGGTTAATCAAAATTCTATCCAAATCTAAATTAAAATGATAAACCTAAGAAGTACTATTGCCAATATGTAAAAGTAGGTATAGCCTTCAGGTAGAAAATATCTTGATAAAAATGAATATCCTATAAATCCCATTGGCTACGCATGGCCTGTCTGCAAGGAACTTGCAACATTGTATCAACTATTAACCATCTGTCCTGAAGCTCTGGCTAGTAAACCTGCAACATTGTATCAACTATTAACTGTCTGTCCTGAAGCTCTGGCTAGTAAACCTGCAACATTGTATCAACTATTAACCATCTGTCCTGAAGCTCTGGCTAGTTAACCTGCAACATTGTATCAACTATTAACTGTCTGTCCTGAAGCTCTGGCTAGTTAACCTGCAACATTGTATCAACTATTAACTGTCTGTCCTGAAGCTCTGGCTAGTTAACCTGCAACATTGTATCAACTATTAACTGTCTGTCCTGAAGCTCTGGCTAGTAAACCTGCAACACTGTATCAACTATTAACTGTCTGTCCTGAAGCTCTGGCTAGTTAACCTGCAAACATTGTATCAACTATTAACTGTCTGTCCTGAAGCTCTGGCTAGTTAACCTGCAACATTGTATCAACTATTAACTGTCTGTCCTGAAGCTCTGGCTAGTAAACCTGCAACATTGTATCAACTATTAACTGTCTGTCCTGAAGCTCTGGCTAGTAAACCTGCAACATTGTATCAACTATTAACTGCTGTCCTGAAGCTCTGGCTAGTAAACCTGCAACATTTGTATCAAATATTAAACCATCTGTCCTGAAGCTCTGGCTAGTAAACCTGCAAAATGTATCAACAGTAACCATCTGTCCTGAAGCTTGGTAGTAAACCTGCAACATGTATCAATACTAACTGTCTGTCCTGAAGCTCTGGCTAGTTAACCTGCAACATTGTATAACTATTAACTGTCTGTCCTGAAGCTCTGGCTAGTAAACCTGCAACATTGTATCAAACTATTAACCGTCTGTCCTGAAGCTCTGGCTAGTTAAACCTGCAAAATTGTATCAACTATTAACCTGTCTGTCCTGAAGCTCTGGCTAGTTAACCTGCAACATTGTATCAACTATTAACTGTCTGGTCCTGAAGCTCTGGCTAGTTAAACCTGCAACATTGTATCAACTATTAACTGTCTGTCCTGAAGCTCTGGCTAGTAACCTGCAACATTGTATCAACTATTAACTGTCTGTCCTGAAGCTCTGGCTAGTTAACCTGCAACATTGTATCAACTATTAACTGTCTGTCCTGAAGCTCTGGCTAGTTAACCTGCAACATTGTATCAACTATTAACCTGTCTGTCCTGAAGCTCTGGCTAGTAAACCTGCAACATTTGTATCAACTATTAACTGTCTGTCCTGAAGCTCTGGCTAGTAAACCTGCAACATTGTATCAACTATTAACTGTCTGTCCTGAAGCTCTGGCTAGTAACCTGCAACATTGTATCAACTATTAACTGTCTGTCCTGAAGCTCTGGCTAGTTAACCTGCAACATTGTATCAACTATTAACTGTCTGTCCTGAAGCTCTGGCTAGTTAACCTGCAACATTGTATCAACTATTAACTGTCTGTCCTGAAGCTCTGGCTAGTAAACCTGCAACATTGTATCAACTATTAACTGTCTGTCCTGAAGCTCTGGCTAGTTAACCTGCAACATTGTATCAACTATTAACTGTCTGTCCTGAAGCTCTGGCTAGTAAACCTGCAACATTGTATCACTATTAACGTCTGTCCTGAAGCTCTGGCTAGTAAACCTGCAACATTGTTCAACTATTAACCGTCTGTCCTAAGCTCTGGCTAGTTAACCTGCAACATTGTAATCAACATTAACTGTCTGTCCTGAAGCTCTGGGCTAGTTTAAACCTGCAACATTGTATCAACTATTAACTGTCTGTCCTGAAGCTCTGGCTAGTAAACCTGCAACATTGTATCAACTATTAACTGTCTGTCCTGAAGCTCTGGCTATTAACCTGCCAACATTTGTAATCAACTATTAACTGTCCTGTCCTGAAGCTCTGGCTAGTAACTGCAACATTGGTATCCCTATTAACTGTCTGTCCTGAGCTCTGGCTAGTAAACTGCAACATTGTATCAACTATTAACTGTCTGTCCTGAAGCTCTGGCTAGTTAAACCTGCAACATTGTATCAACATTAACTGTCTGTCCTGAACTCTGGCTAGTAAACTGCAACATTGTATCAACTATTAACTGTCTGCTCTGAAGCTCTGGCTAGTAAACCCGCAACATTGTATCAACTATTAACTGTCTGTCCTGAAGCTCTGGCTAGTAAACCTGCAACATTGTATCAACTATTAACGTTGTCCTGAAGCTCTGGCTAGTAAACCTGCAACATTGTATCAAACTATTAATGTCTGTCCTGAAGCTCTGGCTAGTTAACCTGCAACATTGTATCAATATTAACGTCTGTCCTGAAGCTCTGGTAGTTAACCTGCAACATTGTATAAACTATAACTGCTGTCCTGAAGCCTTTGGGTAGTTAACCTGCAACATTGTATCAACTATTAACTGTTGTCCCGAAGTCTGGTAGTAAACCTGCAACATTGTATCAATATTAATGTCTGTCCTGAAGCTCTGGCTAGTAAACCTGCAACATTGTATCAAAATATTAACGTTGTCGGAAGCTGGCAGTAAACCCGCAAACATTGTTTTCAAACTATTATGTCTGTCCTGAAGGGTCTGGTAGTTTAAACCCGCAACCCTTGTATCAACTATTAACTGTCTGTCCTGAAGCTCTGGTAGTTAACCTGCCAACATTGTATCAACTATTAAAACGTCTGTCCTGAAGCTCTGGCTAGTTAACCTGCAACATTGTATCAACTATTAACTGTCTGTCCTGAAGCTCATGGCCTAGTATAAACCTGCAACATTTTGTAATCCAACTATTAACTGTCTGTCCTTGAAGCTCTGGCTAGTTAACCTGCAACATTGTTATCAATACTAACTGATGTACTGAAGCTTGGTAGTTAACCGAACAATTGTTTCACTATTTTAACTGTTGTCCTGAAGCTTCCTGGATAGTTAACCTGCAACATTGTATCACTATTAACTGTCTGTCCTGAAGCTCTGGCTAGTTAACCTGCAACATTGTATCAACTATTAACGTCTGTCCTGAAGCTCTGGCTAGTTAACCTGCAACATTGTATCAGAGTTTCCCTGTGAGCGCAGGCAGACAGACAGCTGTAGGCTGGGATAAGAAATAATCAGGTAGGCCTATTTTATTACATTTCCAGCAGTAGGCAGATAAACTGTGCGTGTTGGGGTCAATTCAGTTTTTCAATTCAGGAAGTCAATTACAATTCAATAGAAAACCAACAGAATTGAGCCCAACCCTGGTGTGTGTTCTGCTATGCATTGGACTATGAAGGGGAGATGTAACACGGTCCACTCTATAAGCTACTACCACAAACTGCTCTTTGATTTGATTGGCCAGCAGTGTCTTCATACCACCACTCTCCAAATGTGGCCAATCCTCCCAAGGTTAGTGGTTGTAGCCCAGGGATCATCCACTAGATTCAGCCATGGGCCGATTTTTTTATTAATTTTTTGAGCGGATAGTCGGGGGGCCAGAACAAAATTAAGCAGTAAGGGGCGGCAGGTAGCTTAGTGGTTAAGAGCATAGTGCCAGTAACCGAAAGGTCGCTGGTTCTAATCCCCGAGCCGACTAGGTGAAAAATCTGTCGATGTGCCCTTGAGCAAGGCACTTAAGCCTAATTGCTCCTGTAAGTCGCTCTGGATAAGAGCATCTGCTAAAATGACTTAAATGTAAATGTAAATAAAGAGAGCAGTGTCATGCAGTAGCTGTATGTGGCCAGTAGGCGTCACTGCTGTTCCTTACATACCTGCAGATACTGGGCGAGCTGGAAGAGTTCCTGAGAGTACATAATGGGGGTGTTGGCTGCAACCTGGAGGAGAGGAGAGGAGAGGAGACACACACACCAGGACATCAGGTTAGACAGCAACACTGGGTCTATGCACTCACTGCACACACACACACACACACACACTTAACCTCAGGTAGCCTTCCTCCGAGCCTCATCTAGTGGAAAGGGCAGCCTACTCCGAGTCAAATAATACCAGGTGAAGTTTGATTCATGTGGAAACTGTATGTATGTATAGAGTAGGCTTGGGCAGTATACCATATATATATAGAGAGAGAGTATACCAGGGTATTTGGAAATAGACACGGGATGGTTTTTCAATACAGTCTAAACTATTTCTTATAATTTATTTTGTACATTTCAATATTTGTGGCTACTTTAAGTAAATACCTGCAGTCAACTTGTGCAATACGTTAGGAGATAAAGATTGCGTTTTTCATTTCACCTGTCAAATAATCACATTTTGCATTATGTAACTTAGCAGTAGTCCCCAGTCACGTAGTGTTTATTTACAAGCAGACAATGAGGAGAGCCCGGAGTCTCGTAGTGTTTATTTACAAGCAGACAATGAGGAGAGCCCGGAGTCTTGTGAGTCTCACTGTTGTGCAGCACACGTCAGGTGATCTAGTTACAGGATGGAATTCCCAACTAAACGTTTGCCAGCTAGATATCTTAGAACTATTAAATGTGCTAAATGCTCTGCAGCTGAGCATTTGGTTTGCTAATTTAGTAGCTAGTTAGCTATCTAGCTAAGTGGTTAGCTTCTTCCAAAATCAATCTTCTCTTGGTAACAGCAGATAATCCCCTCCTGGATCAAGAGCCTTGCTATCTAATATTTGTTTTGTGCTTGCAGCAAACTGTGAGTAGCATTTTTGAGTTACTTGTATAGTTTAGGTCAGAGACTGTATAAAATGTTAGCAATGCGCTAGTTAGCATTGCTAACTTTCGGATTACAGAGGCTGAACGGGGTTTGAAAATATTGCCCCTTTTGTTGAGAGCCTGTATTACCGGATATCTGGGTATGGTACAAGGTCGGTATGAAGGTAGGACAATCTGGATACCGCACAAGCCTAGTATAGATTATAGGTCCAAAAAAAATCCTTCTTCACGCAAGACACCATCTCCTCTCAGTAATCACCAGTGACATTGACAGATGCTGCAGTCAGATAGAGCTGTGCTGTGTGATGAAAGGTTACAAGGCAACCATATCCTACAAACCCTAACAGAACACTCAGAGGAATGCGCTCGGTGCTTAGAGCTCAGTACTGGGAGAGGAGATGAGCAGCCATGTGGACCAGGCTGACCTTCTCATTCAATAGGCCCCAAAATAAGGCCTGGTCCTCGGGGCAGGGAGAGGAGAGGGATCAGGGCCTGATGTTTAGAGCAGGAGAGGAGAAGGGATCTGATGTTTAGAGCTGGAGAGGAGAAGGGATCTGGGCCTGATGTTTAGAGCAGGAGAGGAGAAGGGATCTGGGTCTGATGTTTAGAGCTGGAGAGGAGAAGGGATCTGGGTCTGGTGTTTAGAGCTGGAGAGGAGAAGGGATCTGGGTCTGGTGTTTAGAGCTGGAGAGGAGAAGGGATCTGGGTCTGGTGTTTAGAGCTGGAGAGGAGAAGGGATCTGGGCCTGGTGTTTAGAGCAGGAGAGGAGAAGGGATCTGGGCCTGATGTTTAGAGCTGGAGAGGAGAAGGGATCTGGGTCTGATGTTTAGAGCAGGAGAGGAGAAGGGATCTGGGCCTGATGTTTAGAGCTGGAGAGGAGAAGGGATCTGGGCCTGATGTTTAGAGCAGGAGAGGAGAAGGGATCTGGGCCTGATGTTTAGAGCTGGAGAGGAGAAGGGATCTGGGCCTGATGTTTAGAGCAGGAGAGGAGAAGGGATCTGGGTCTGATGTTTAGAACTGGAGAGGAGAAGGGATCTGGGCCTGATGTTTAGAGCTGGAGAGGAGAAGGGATCTGGGCCTGATGTTTAGAGCAGGAGAGGAGAAGGGATCTGGGCCTGATGTTTAGAGCAGGAGAGGAGAAGGGATCTGGGCCTGATGTTTAGAGCAGGAGAGGAGAAGGGATCTGGGCCTGATGTTTAGAGCAGGAGAGGAGAAGGGATCTGGGCCTGATGTTTAGAGCAGGAGAGGAGAACGGATCTGGGCCTGGTGTTTAGAGCAGGAGAGGAGAAGGGATCTGGGCCTGGTGTTTAGAGCAGGAGAGGAGAAGGGATCTGGGCCTGGTGTTTAGAGCAGGAGAGTAGAAGGGATCTTGGCCTGGTGTTTAGAGCAGGAGAGGAGAAGGGATCTGGGCCTGATGTTTAGAGCTGGAGAGGAGAAGGGATCTGGGCCTGATGTTTAGAGCAGGAGAGGAGAAGGGATCTGGGCCTGATGTTTAGAGCTGGAGAGGAGAAGGGATCTGGGCCTGGTGTTTAGAGCAGGAGAGGAGAAGGGATCTGGGCCTGGTGTTTAGAGCAGGAGAGGAGAAGGGATCTGGGCCTGGTGTTTAGAGCAGGAGAGGAGAAGGGATCTGGGTCTGATGTTTAGAACTGGAGAGGAGAAGGGATCTGGGTCTGATGTTTAGAGCTGGAGAGGAGAAGGGATCTGGGCCTGATGTTTAGAGCAGGAGAGGAGAAGGGATCTGGGCCTGATGTTTAGAGCAGGAGAGGAGAAGGGATCTGGGCCTGATGTTTAGAGCAGGAGAGGAGAAGGGATCTGGGCCTGATGTTTAGAGCAGGAGAGGAGAAGGGATCTGGGCCTGATGTTTAGAGCTGGAGAGGAGAAGGGATCTGGGTCTGATGTTTAGAGCAGGAGAGGAGAAGGGATCTTGGCCTGGTGTTTCAAATAATCAAAGCTTGATAATTAGTTGATTATTTGAATTACAGTGCATTTGGAAAGTATTCATACCCATTGACTTTTTCCACATTTTGTTACGTTACAGCCTTATTCTAAAATGGATTAAATAAATAAAAATCCTCATCAATCTACACACAATACCCCATAATGACAAAGCAAAAATAGGTTTGTAGAAATATTTGCAAATGTATTACAAATAAAAAACGGAAATATCACATTTCATTAGAATTCAGACCCTTTACTCAGTACTTTGTTGAAACACCTTTAACTGCAATTACAGCATCGAGTCTTCTTGGGTATGACGCTACAAGCTTGGCACACCTGTATTTGGGGAGTTTCTCCCATTCTTCTCTGCAGATCCTCTCAAGCTCTGTCAGGTTGGATGGGGAGCGTTGCTGCACAGCTATTTTCAGGTCACTCAGAGATGTTTGATCGGGTTCAAGTCCAGGCTCTGGCTGGGCCACTCAAGGACATTCAGAGACTTGTCCCGAAGCCACTCCTGCGTTGTCTTGGCTGTGTGCTTAGGGTCGTTGTCCTGTTGGAAGGTGAACCTTCGCCCCAGTCTGAGGTCCTGAGCGCTCTGGAGCAGGTTTTCATCAAGGATCTCTGTACTTTGCTCCTTTCAACTTTCCCTCGATCCTGACTAGTCTCCCGGTCCCTACCACTGAAAAACATCCCCACAGCATGATGCTGCCACCACCATGCTTCACTGTAGGGATGGTGCCAGGTTTCCTCCATACGTGACGCTTGGCATTCAGGCCAAAGAGTTCAAGCTTGGTTTCATCAGACCTGAATATCTGGTTTCTCATGGTCTGAGAGTCCTTTAGGTGTCTTTTGGCAAAATGCAAGCGGGCTGTCGTGCCTTTTACTGAGGGGAGTGGCTTCCGTCTGGCCACTCTACCATAAAGGCCTGATTGGTGGAATGCTGCAGAGATGGTTGTCCTTCTGTAAGGTTCTCCCATCTCCACAGAGGAACTCTAGAGCTCTGTCAGAGGGACCATCGGGTTCTTGGTCACCTCCATGACCAAGGCCCTTCTCCCTTGATTGCTCAGTTTGTCCAGGCGGCCAGCTCTAGGAAGAGTCTTGGTGGTTCCAAACTTCTTACAATTAAGAATTATGGAGGCCACTGTGTTCTTGGGGACCTTCAATGCTGCAGAAATGTTTTGGTACCGTTTCCCAGATCGGTGCCTCGACACAATCCTGTCTCGGAGCTCTACGGACAATTCCTTCGACCTCATGGCTTGGTTTTTGCTCTGACATGCACTGTCAACTGTGGGATCTTATATAGACAGGTGTGTGCCTTTCCAAATCATGTTCAATCAATTGAATTTACCACAGGTGGACTCCAATCAAGTTGTAGAAACATCAAAGGATGTTCAATGGAAACAGGATGCACCGGAGCTCAATTTCGAGTCTCATAGCAAAGGGTCTGAATACTTGTGTACATAAGGTACCTGTTTTTGATTTTTTTATAAATTAGCAAAAATGCCTAAAAACCAGTTTTCGCTTTGTCATTATGGGTTAGTGTGTAGATTGATGGGAAAAAAGTTTAATACATTTTAGAATAAGGCTGTAACGTAACAAAATGTGGAAAAAGTCAAGGGGTCTGAATACTTTCTGAATGCATTGTAGCAAAACCCAAAATGTGCACCCCTTGGGGTCCCAGTACCGAGTTCGGGAAACCCTGTCCTCTCTCCCCTCGATCCTTCCTCCCTGCTTTCCAGATGTGAAAAAAAATGGGAGAAAGCATCAATATGCAGACTAGAGATCTGATTGATATCATCAACTCTTGCCATCCAGATGTGATGCACATCTCACACACACCGTGGACAGAGACAGACGAATCCACCTACCTTATCAACAGGAAGTGGTAAAGGTGCTTGGATGACACTGTGGAGAGGACAGAGTTCAGAGTTCAGTTCAAGAGGACGATAAAGGTCATTCTACAGTTTATACACTGCTCTAAAAAAGAAAGGGAACACTTAAACAACACAATGTAACTCCAAGTCAATCACACTTCTGTGAAATCAAACTGTCCACTTAGGAAGCAACACTGATTGACAATACATTTCACATGCTGTTGTGCAAATGGAATAGACAACAGGTGTAAATTATAGGCAATTAGCAAGACACCCCCAATAAAGAAGTGGTTCTGCAGGTGGTGACCACAGACCACTTCTCAGTTCCTATGCTTCCTGGCTGATGTTTAGGTCACTTTTGAATGCTGGCGGTGCTTTCACTCTAGTGGTAGCATGAGACGGAGTCTACAACCCACACAAGTGGCTCAGGTAGTGCAGCTCATCCAGGATGGCACATCAATGCGAGCTGTGGCAAGAAGGTTTGCTGTGTCTGTCAGCGTAGTGTCCAGAACATGGAGGCGCTACCAGGAGAAAGGCCAGTACATCAGGAGACGTGGAGGAGGCCGTAGGAGGGCAACAACCCAGCAGCAGGACCGCTACCTCCGCCTTTGTGCAAGGAGGAGCAGGAGGAGCACTGCCAGAGCCCTGCAAAATGACCTCCAGCAGGCCACAAATGTGCATGTGTCTGCTCAAACGGTCAGAAACAGACTCCATGAGGGTGGTATGAGGCCCCGACGTCCACAGGTGGGGGTTGTGCTTACAGCCCAACACCGTGCAGGACGTTTGGCATTTGCCAGAGAACACCAAGATTGGCAAATTCGCCACTGGCGCCCTGTGCTCTTCACAGATGAACGCAGGTTCACACTGAGCACATGTGACAGACGTGACAGAGTCTGGAGACGCCGTGGAGAACGTTCTGCTGCCTGCAACATCCTCCAGCATGACCGGTTTGGCGTGGGTCAGTCATGGTGTGGGGTGGCATTTCTTTGGGGGGCCGCACAGCCCTCCATGTGCTCGCCAGAGGTAGCCTGACTGCCATTAGGTACCGAGATGAGATCCTCAGACCCCTTGTGAGACCATATGCTGGTGCGGTTGGCCCTGGGTTCCTCCTAATGCAAGACAATGCTAGACCTCATGTGGCTGGAGTGTGTCAGCAGTTCCTGCAAGAGAAAGGCATTGATGCTATGGACTGGCCTGCCCGTTCCCCAGACCTGAATCCAATTGAGCACATCTGGGACATCATGTCTCGCTCCATCCACCAACGCCACGTTGCACCACAGACTGTCCAGGAGTTGGCGGATGCTTTAGTCCAGGTCTGGGAGGAGATCCCTCAGGAGACCATCCGCCACCTCATCAGGAGCATGACCAGGCGTTGTAGGGAGGTCATACAGGCACGTGGAGGCCACACACACTACTGAGCCTCATTTTGACTTGTTTTAAGGACATTACATCAAAGTTGGATCAGCCTGTAGTGTGGTTTTCCACTTTAATGTTGAGGGTGACTCCAAATCCAGACCTCCATGGGTTGATACATTTGATTTCCATTGATAATTTTGGTGTGTTTTTGTTGTCAGCACATTCAACTATGTAAAGAAAAAAGTATTTAATAAGATTATTTCATTCATTCAGATCTAGGATGTGTTATTTTAGTGTTCCCTTTATTTGTTTGAGCAGTGCATTATATAAACAGTTATACAACAGAAATTAAACGGTTAATATAATAGTCTGCGTCTGAATGGCACCCTATACACTGAACGAAAATAGAAACGCAACATGTAAAGTGTTGAAATAAAAGATGGCAAAAATTGTCCATATGCACAAAAAGCTTATTTCTCTCAAATGTTGGGCACAAATGTGTTTACATCCCTGTTAGTGAGCATTTCTCCTTTTCCAAGATAATCCATCCACCTGACAGGTGTGGCATATCAAGAAGCTGATTAAACAGCATTTTACAACGTTAAAAAAATAGTAAAAATAAAGAAAACCCTTGAATGAATAGATGTGTCCAAACGTTTGACTGGTAGTGTGTGTGACAAAAACAAAATCGACCAATCGATTGCTCTACATTTTTAAACGTGAATTTTTCCGTATACATGTTTCAATAAAATCAACTATGTGCACTGAGGTTGTCTGATGCTTTACAGCCTACGGTTTGATGCCTCAAGAGGGCGCCAGAGATCTAGATAACCAGAAGAAAAAACCTTAAAATGACCCAACTATTCTCCTCCTGCTGGCTTTCGCCGATTTCTGCCATTACTCTCCTGAAGTTGCCGGTAATAGGCTACACGATGAGTCGGCAACTTCTCATGCCAATTTACCATTTCTACCGATCTGCGTGCCAGTAATGGTTTTCATATACACATTTTCGTGAAACAGTTTCATTTAAATTTATAATAACGTCTTCATATCTCAAAATCATGGTCATGTGGTTAATCTAAATTCTATCCAAATCTAAATGAAAATGATCAATCTATAAAGTAACTTCCATTGCCAATTATATAAAAATATCCTACATAAAGCCAACAAATAAAAACATTGCAGCCTGCAGGTAGAACATTTCCTGATAAACAATAAATCCTATAAATCCCATTGGTCTGTCTGCAACGAACTTAAAACGTGTTATTCTGTCTCTCATTGATTGAGAGTGGGTCAAGTACAAATCAATTTTTTTTTTGTTATTCTGTCTCTCACTGTTCAAATAAACCTACCATTAAAACTAGACTGATCATGTCTTTGTCAGTGGGCAAACGTACAAAATCAGCAGGGGATCAAATACTTTTTTCCCCTCACTGTATGTATATGTATATATATATATATATAATAAATATAAAGAAGACTCAAGGCTGTAATCGCTGCCAAAGGTGCTTCAACAAAGTACTGAGTGAAGGGTCTGAATGTCATATTTCAGTTTTTTTTTTTTTTTTGTATATGTGCACAAATTCCTAAAAACCTGTTTTTGTTTTGTCATTATGGGGTATTGTGTGTAGATTGATGAGGGGGAAAAAACGATTTAATCCATTTAGAATAAGTATAACGTAACAAAATGTGGAAAAAGGCGTCTGAATCCTTTCTGAATGCAATATATGTATTGCCACCCACTACTGATTTTTTTTTTTAAAACTTATTTTATTCAAAAACATAAAATACCGTTAAAGTCATACTGTCCCAAAAAAAAAATATTTCTGCATTTCATTTAACAAATTTGCTAACATTTCTAAAAACATGTTTTCACTTTGTCATAATGGGGTATTGTGTGTTGATGGGTGCGGGAAAAAAATTATATTTAATCCATTTTGAAATGAGGCTGTACCGAGAAAGAACGAGAAAGAACAAACGAACTGCAGCTCCAGCTCATAAAGTTATACAAGCTAGTAGCTACCGAATGTCATTTATGGTGAGTGTGGACATTTACAAGCGAAAGTGAACGAGAGAAATTGTCCAAATGAACAAAGTTGTGAAGCATGCTTTTCTGAAGGAAGAGCAGCATGTATACATGAAGCAAGAGGGGAGACGAACGGAGCATGGAAGAGCAGCATGTGGATTCACAGAGCAGAGGGGAGGAGGAACGGAGAAGGACGAGCCGCATGTATACATGAAAGCGAGGGGGAGGAGTAACGGAAGCCAGGACGAGCAGGGCATGTATACATGGAAGCAGAGGGGAGGAGAAACGGAAGGAGCATGGAAGAGCAGCATGTGATCACAGAGCAGAGGGGAGGAGAACGGAGCAGGAAGAGCAGCATGTATACATGAAGCAGAGGGGAGGAGAACGGAGCAGGAAGAGCAGCATGTGATCACAGAGCAGAGGGGAGGAGAACGGAGCAGGAAGAGCAGCATGTATACATGAAGCAGAGGGGAGGAGAACGGAGCAGGAAGAGCAGCATGTATACATGAAGCAGAGGGGAGGAGAACGGAGCAGGAAGAGCAGCATGTATACATGAAGCAGAGGGGAGGAGAACGGAGCAGGAAGAGCAGCATGTATACATGAAGCAGAGGGGAGGAGAACGGAGCAGGAAGAGCAGCATGTATACATGAAGCAGAGGGGAGGAGAACGGAGCAGGAAAGAGCAGCATGTATACATGAAGCAGAGGGGAGGAGAACGGAGACAGAAGAGCAGCATGTATACATGAAGCAGAGGGGAGGAGAACGGAGCAGGAAGAGCAGCATGTATACATGAAGCAGAGGGGAGGAGAACGGAGCAGGAAGAGCAGCATGTATACATGAAGCAGAGGGGAGGAGAACGGAGCAGGAAGAGCAGCATGTGATCACAGAGCAGAGGGGAGGAGAACGGAGCAGGAAGAGCAGCATGTATACATGAAGCGGAGGGGAGGAGAACGGAGCAGGAAGAGCAGCATGTGATCACAGAGCAGAGGGGAGGAGAACGGAGCAGGAAGAGCAGCATGTATACATGAAGCAGAGGGGAGGAGAACGGAGCAGGAAGAGCAGCATGTGATCACAGAGCAGAGGGGAGGAGAACGGAGCAGGAAGAGCAGCATGTGATCACAGAGCAGAGGGGAGGAGAACGGAGCAGGAAGAGCAGCATGTATACATGAAGCAGAGGGGAGGAGAACGGAGCAGGAAGAGCAGCATGTGATCACAGAGCAGAGGGGAGGAGAACGGAGCAGGAAGAGCAGCATGTATACATGAAGCGGAGGGGGAGAACGGAGCAGGAAGAGCAGCATGTGATCACAGAGCAGAGGGGAGGAGAACGGAGCAGGAAGAGCAGCATGTGATCACAGAGCAGAGGGGAGGAGAACGGAGCAGGAACACAACGCTAGTAGGAAGCAACAGAAATGGCAGCTGTACAGATAAGAAATCTTTGACTTCTAAAACACGGCAGAAAGCTATTATAAAGATACACGATGGCAAACATTTAGTAGTAAATTGCATACAAGTGTAACTTCATCACCTCATGTGCACCGCACAACAGAGACTCACTGATAGACATAGAACACTATGGACTCACTGATAGATATACAGTGGGGAGAACAAGTATTTGATACACTGCCGATTTTGCAGGTTTTCCTACTTACAAAGCATGTAGAGGTCTGTAATTTTTATCATAGGTACACTTCAACTGTGAGAGACGGAATCTAAAACAAAAATCCAGAAATCACATTGTATGATTTTTAAGTAAATAATTTGCATTTTATTGCATGACATAAGTATTTGATACATCACAAAAGCAGAACTTAATATTTGGTACAGAAACCTTTGTTTGCAATTACAGAGATCATACGTTTCCTGTAGGTCTTGACCAGGTTTGCACACACTGCAGCAGGGATTTTGGCCCACTCCTCCATACAGACCTTCTCCAGATCCTTCAGGTTTCGGGGCTGTCGCTGGGCAATACGGACTTTCAGCTCCCTCCAAAGATTTTCTATTGGGTTCAGGTCTGGAGACTGGCTAGGCCACTCCAGGACCTTGAGAAGCTTCTTACAGAGCCACTCCTTAGTTGCCCTGGCTGTGTGTTTCGGGTCGTTGTCATGCTGGAAGACCCAGCCACGACCCATCTTCAATGCTCTTACTGAGGGAAGGAGGTTGTTGGCCAATATCTCGATACAAGGCCCCATCCATCCTCCCCTCAATACGGTGCAGTCGTCCTGTCCCCTTTGCAGAAAAGCATACCCAAAGAATTATGTTTCCAACTCCATGCTTCACGGTTGGGATGGTGTTCTTGGGGTTGTACTCATCCTTCTTCCTCCAAACACGGCGAGTGGAGTTTAGACCAAAAAGCTCTATTTTTGTCTCATCAGACCACATGACCTTCTCCCATTCCTCCTCTGGATCATCCAGATGGTCATTGGCAAACTTCAGACGGGCCTGGACATGCGCTGGCTTGAGCAGGGGGACCTTGCGTGCGCTGCAGGATTTTAATCCATGACGGCGTAGTGTGTTACTAATGGTTTTCTTTGAGACTGTGGTCCCAGCTCTCTTCAGGTCATTGACCAGGTCCTGCCGTGTAGTTCTGGGCTGATCCCTCACCTTCCTCATGATCATTGATGCCCCACGAGGTGAGATCTTGCATGGAGCTCCAGACCGAGGGTGATTGACCGTCATCTTGAACTTCTTCCATTTTCTAATAATTGCACCAACAGTTGTTGCCTTCTCACCAAGCTGCTTGCCTATTGTCCTGTAGCCCATCCCAGCCTTGTGCAGGTCTACAATTTTATCCCTGATGTCCTTACACAGCTCTCTGGTCTTGGCCATTGTGGAGAGGTTGGAGTCTGTTTGATTGAGTGTGTGGACAGGTGTCTTTTATACAGGTAATGAGTTCAAACAGGTGCTGTTAATACAGGTAATAAGTGGAGAACAGGAGGGCTTCTTAAAGAAAAACGAACAGGTCTGTGAGAGCCGGAATTCTTACTGGTTGGTAGGTGATCAAATACTTATGTCATGCAATAAAATGCAAATTAATTACTTAAAAATCATACAAATGTGATTTTCTGGATTTTTGTTTTAGATTCCGTCTCTCACAGTTGAAGTGTACCTTTGATAAAAATTACAGACCTCTACATGCTTTGTAAGTAGGAAAACCTGCAAAATCGGCAGTGTATCAAATACTTGTTCTCCCAACTGTAGAACACTATGGACTCACTGATAGATATAGAACACTATGGACTCACTGATAGATATATAACACTATGGACTCACTGATAGATATAGAACACTATGGACTCACTGATAGATATAGAACACTATGGACTCACTGATAGATATAGAACACTATGGACTCACTGATAGATATAGAACACTATGGACTCACTGATAGATATAGAACACTATGGACTCACTGATAGATATAGAACACTATGGACTCACTGATAGATATAGACCACTATGGACTCACTGATAGATATAGGACACTATGGACTCACCAGCTCGCTTTCTCCTGTTGTGCGCTTTACAACGAGCACGTGACTGGCTCAACAGTTCTGGGGAACTACGGTAAGCTTCATAATGTAAAATAATGTGACCGGTGAAATAAAGAACGCAATCTGATTTATCTCCTAACGTATTGCACAAGTTATAGTGGTGCTGGTTCCAACTGGAACAGCCAGTCCACCCGGTATTAGTGGAGCTGGTTCCAACTGGAACAGCCAGTCCACCCGGTTTTAGTGGAGCTGGTTCCAACTAGAACAGCCAGTCCACCCGGAATTAGTGGAGCTGGTTCCAACTGGAACAGCCAGTCCACCCGGAATTAGTGGAGCTGGTTCCAACTGGAACAGCCAGTCCGCCCGGTATTAGTGGAGCTGGTTCCAACTGGAACAGCCAGTCCACCCGGAATTAGTGGAGCTGGTTCCAACTGGAACAGCCAGTCCACCCGGTATTAGTGGTTAGGGGAGGATTTTTGGAGAAGCAGATTCTTAGTTGGACAGCCTTTCCATTGAGAAGCATGTTGTTCTCTGCTGCCCATTCCTCCAGTTCCTTTACCTCTTCCATTGAGGTCATTTTCAAATGTTTGCTAGCCTTAAAGCACGGGACAGACCAATGTCGTCGTCGTAGCCAGTGTCCAGTGTGTCCTCAAACGTGACTTAAAGTGGACATGTGAAGCAGGAAGAGGTAATTTGAGACGACCCCACCCTGGGGGACCCCAGATGTTACCTCTGTCCATGAGCTGTACGTGTCCATGTACCACAACCCTCCCCGTTGGGTAGCTGTGAAGCCAGGGGAGTAGCCTTGAACACAGACCGGACAGATGCTGGAGGAGTTTAGCTTGGGTCGCCAGCAGAACCCGGACCATGGTGGGTTGAGTCGGTCTCGGTAAGCCAGGTGGGTGTGACTCTGAACAGCTCATGTGTTGTGCTGTGTTTAGTATGCATACTGGTTTCTGCATTCCTCAAGAGCAACTGGCATGAGCTTCTTCACAAATGAGCCTTTCACGGACTTTGCACAGACAGTCCGAAAGATTGGTCTCCAATCAATCACTTTTCCCTCCGGTACTGAGGACCTTAGGAATGGGGCAGATGTTAGCGGTTGAGCTCAGCATATTCCTTCAGTAACCAGGGGATACCATCTGGACCACGTTTTTACTTGGACAGGGTCTTGAAAAAGAGCTTGTTTCATTTCTCCAAATGTGGCATAGTTATCCTTCCTCATCAACAGGCCTAGGAACAGGATAAAGACTTAAGGATTTTCACAATTCCTGACATTTAATCCTAGTAAAAATTCCGTCTTAGGTCAGTTAGGATCACCACTTTATTTTAAGAATGTGAAATGTCAGAATAATAGTAGAGAGAATGATTTATTTCAGCTTTTATTTCTTTCATCACATTCCCAGTGGGTCAGAAGTTTACATACACTCAATTAGTATTTGGTAGCATTGCCTTTAAATTGTTTAACTTGGGTCAAATGTTTTGGGTAGCCTTCCACAAGCTTCCCACAATAAGTTGGGTGAATTTTGGCCCATTCCTCCTGACAGAGCTTGTGTAACGGAGTCAGGTTTGTAGGCCTCCTTGCTCGCACACGCCTTTTCAGTTCTGCCCACACATTTTCTATAGGATTGAGGTCAGGGCTTTGTGATGGCCAATCCAATACCTTGACTTTGTTGTCCTTAAGCCATTTTGCCACAACTTTAGAAGTATGCTTGGGGTCATTGTCCATTTGGAAGACCCATTTGCGACCAAGCTTTAACTTCCTGACTGATGTCTTGAGATGTTGCTTCAATATATCCACATAATTTTCCTTCCTCATGATGCCATCTATTTTGTGAAGTGTACCAGTCCCTCCTGCAGCAAAGCACCCCCACAGCATGACGCTGCCACCCCGTGCTTCACGGTTGTGAATGGTGTTGTTCGGCTCCCTCCAAACATAACGATGGTCATTATGGCCAAACAGTTCTATTTTTGTTTCATCAGACCAGAGGACATTTCTCCAAAAAGTACGATCTTTGTCCCCATGTGCAGTTGCAAACTGTAGTCTGGCTTTATGGCGGTTTTGGAGCAGTGGCTTCTTCCTTGCTGATCTGCCTTTCAGATTATGTCGATATAGGACTCATTTACCTGTGGATATAGATACTTTTGTACCCGTTTCCTCCAGCATCTTCACAAGGTCATTTGCTGTTGTTCTGGGATTGATTTGCACTTTGTGGAGGTCTACAATCTTTTGTCTGAGGTCTTGGCTGATTTCTTTGATTTTCCCCATAATGTCAAGCAAAGAGGCACTGGGTTTGAAGGTATGCCTTGAAATACATCCACAGGTACACCTCCAATTAACTCAAATGATGTTAATTAGCCTATCAGAAGCTTCTAAAGCCATGACATTTTCTGGAATCTTCCAAGCTGTTTAAAGGCACAGTCAACTTAGTGTATGTAAACTTCTGACCCACTGGAATTGTGATACAGTGAATTATAAGTGAAAATCATCTGTCTGTACACAATTGTTGGAAAAATTACTTGTGTCATGCACAAAGTAGATGTCCTAACCGACTTGCCAAAACTATGTTTAACAAGAAATTTGTGGAGTGTTTGAAAAAACAAGTTAATGACTCCAACCTAAGTGTATGTAAACTTCCGACTTCAACTGTATCCTGTCCATGCTTAAGCAAATAAGTTGTTCAGGACATCAGCAACATTGTCCGTTTCCACACCATCAATCTGCATCTTTCTCCAGATGATTTTGATAGACCAAACTATTTGTTGACGAAGTCCCACCACTCTTGGATTCTTCTTTGAGTACTTGAATTTAATTTGTGTAGTACTTTCTTAGCCCCTCGGATGAGCCTTTGAACCGTAGTAGTTTTCCCCCCATCCGTCAAATAATTTATGCCTTTTCTTAATGGCCGCTTTTAGTTGTTCCGTCATCCATGGATTGTCACAGGCAGTTTTTTTTAAATCTGTATGTTAGTGTTGGAGCTCTCCAACCTATGATCCATGTTCTCTGCATCTTAGACACCAGTCTGATGGCTAGGACCAGGCTAGGACCTCCTATCTCAAGACGTCGCACTGCTCTGTATTGCATGTCCTTCCCCCTTGCTAGGTACCCTGGTGGGAACTGCAGACACTTGTGGTAACCTGATCCCAGCAGGGCCAACTCTAGTAGTGGAGCTGTACTGATCAGATCCATCATGGAGTCGCCATGTAGTAGGTGTTGAGATCTGTTCTGATCAGATCCATCATGGAGTCTCCATGTAGTAGGTGTTGAGGTCTGTTCTGATCAGATCCATCATGGAGTCTCCATGTAGTAGGGGTTGAGGTCTGTTCTGATCAGATCCATCATGGAGTCTCCATGTACTACGGGTTGAGGTCTGTTCTGATCAGATCCATCATGGAGTCTCCATGTACTACGGGTTGAGGTCTGTTCTGATCAGATCCATCATGGAGTCTCCATGTACTACGGGTTGAGGTCTGTACTGATCAGATCCATCGTGGAGTCTCCATGTAGTAGGTGTTGAGGTCTGTTCTGATCAGATCCATCAAATCAAATTTTATTGGTCACATGCGCCGATTACAACAGGTGCAGACATTACAGTGAAATGCTTACTTACAGCCCTTAACCAACAGTGCATTTATTTTAAACAAAAAAAGTAAGAATAAAACAACAACAAAAAAAGTGTTGAGAAAAAAAGAGCAGAAGTAAAATAAAGTGACAGTAGGGAGGCTATATATACAGTAAAATAAAGTGACAGTAGGGAGGCTATATATACAGGGGGGTACTGTTGCAGAGTCAATGTGCGGGGGCACCGGCTAGTTGAGGTAGTTGAGGTAATATGTACATGTGGGTAGAGTTAAAGTGACTATGCATAAATACTTACTTAACAGAGTAGCAGCAGCGTAAAAAGGATGGGGTGGGGGGGCAGTGCAAATAGTCCGGGTAGCCATGATTAGCTGTTCAGGAGTCTTATGGCTTGGGGGTAGAAGCTGTTGAGAAGTCTTTTGGACCTAGACTTGGCACTCCGGTACCGCTTGCCGTGCGGTAGCAGAGAGAACAGTCTATGACTAGGGTGGCTGGAGTCTTTGACAATTTTGAGGGCCTTCCTCTGACACCGCCTGGTATAGAGGTCCTGGATGGCAGGGAGCTTTGCCCCAGTGATGTACTGGGCCGTACGCACTACCCTCTGTAGTGCCTTGCGGTCAGAGGCCAAGCAGTTGCCATACCAGGCGGTGATGCAACCAGTCAGGATGCTCTCGATGGTGCAGCTGTAGAATTTTTTGAGGATCTGAGGACCCATGCCAAATCTTTTTAGTCTCCTGAGGGGGAATAGGCTTTGTCGTGCCCTCTTCACGACTGTCTTGGTGTGTTTGGACCATGATAGTTCGTTGGTGATGTGGACACCAAGGAACTTGAAGCTCTCAACCTGTTCCACTACAGCCCCGTCGATGAGAATGGGGGCGTGCTCAGTCCTCTTTTTTTTCCTGTAGTCCACAATCATCTCCTTTGTCTTGGTCACGTTGAGGGAGAGGTTGTTGTCCTGGCACCACACGGCCAGATCTCTGACCTCCTCCCTATAGGCTGTCTCATCGTTGTCGGTGATCAGGCCTACCACTGTTGTGTCGTCGGCAAACTTAATGATGGTGTTGGAGTCGTGCCTGGCCATGCAGTCATGGGTGAACAGAGAGTACAGGAGGGGACTGAGCACGCACCCCTGAGGGGCCCCCGTGTTGAGGATCAGTGTGGCAGATGTGTTGTTACCTACCCTTACCACCTGGGGGCGGCCCGTCAGGAAGTCCAGGATCCAGTTGCAGAGGGAGGTGTTTAGTCCCAGGATCCTTAGCTTAGTGATGAGCTTAGAGGGCACTATGGTGTTGAATGCTGAGCTGTAGTCAATGAATAGCATTCTCACGTAGGTGTTCCTTTTGTCCAGGTGGGAAAGGGCAGTGTGGAGTGCGATAGAGATTGCATCATCTGTGGATCTGTTGGGGCGGTATGCAAATTGGAGTGGGTCTAGGGTTTCTGGGATTATGCTGTTGATGTGAGCCATGACCAGTCTTTCAAAGCACTTCATGGCTACAGACGTCAGTGCTACGGGTCGGTAGTCATTAAGGCAGGTTATCTTAGAGTTCTTGGGCACGGGGACTATGGTGGTCTGCTTGAAACATGTTGGTATTACAGACTCAGTCAGGGACATGTTGAAAATGTCAGTGAAGACACTTGCCAGTTGGTCAGCACATGCTCGGATTACACGTCCTGGTAATCCGTCTGGCCCTGCGGCCTTGGGAATGTTGACCTGCTTAAAAGTCTTACTCACATCGGCTACGGAGAGCGTGATCACATAGTCGTCATGTAGTAGGTGGAGTCGCCATGTAGTAGGTGTTGAGGTCTGTTCTGATCCATCATGGAGTCTCCACATACTACGGGTTGAGGTCTGTTCTGATCAGATCCATCATGGAGTCTCCATGTAGTAGGTGTTGAGGTCTATTCTGATCAGATCCATCATGGAGTCTCCACAGGTCTTGTTTTTGACAATCTGTTTTAGACCTGGGTGAGACTTGATGGCCTTGGTAGGTACATGATTGAAATCCCCACATCAGACAATACCTGCTTCAGGTGACTTAAACTTCAGAGTCAAATGTGTTAATGAGACAGTCGATAGCGTCCTGCTGCAGTTTGTTCTCATTAGCCCATAGAGGATGGTAAAGTGTCCCAACAACAATTGTTGAGATCTGGGAAGCCGCTCTGGATGCAACTGGATCCACAGACACTCAAATTCATCTTTCAATGTCAGCCCGTCTCCTAACCTGGAGACTCATCTACATACATGGCCACCCCTCCTTTCATATTTAGACAAGGATTTGGGTCACGTCTGAATACCCTCTGGGGAATCATCTGCAATGTTTTCATGTGCCCATGTTTCTGTTACACAACCCATTTCTGATGATCTGAGTAGAAGTTCAAACTTTTATTAGCAGGGATCTGGAATTGCAGGTTAGGATATTTGTCAGACAGTGGGAAGCTTTTGCATCTTCTGCTTTCTTTATTGCAGTGAAAGACTGTCCCTTGGCACTTCTACATGACTGACAGTTTTGGCAGGCCTGATAGCAACAACAGTGTGGATCTTGCTTTGTTTACCTAGGCCAGCCTGGATTCCTCTTGGATGGCTTCTAGTTCACAGAACATGGTTTTTCAGAAGCTTCTCTTTGATGTGATGAACCAGAGGTAAAGTACGTTTCCTGAGATTCTGAAGGAAATCCGGTGAGTAGTCAAATATTTGTGGCGCCCATTTCACTTGCTTAAAAAGTCCTCCAAAACAGTTGAACTGACAAATTCTGCCACAGAACTGACCACACAGACAATACTAATATGCTGTAACTGTCCACCAATAACAGATGGGTGGCTAATGCAGAAAGAGATAGTTAATGGGTTTTACCACCACCATAACGTGGTAATCTTAGGCAAATTAATGCATTTTCTAATTAGTTCAATACATTTAGTTGATTTCCTACTAAGTTCAATACATTTGTGTATATTGTTTAATTCCGTTTCAATGTCTGTTTATTCCGAGATTCCAGCCACATTCTCTTCAACAGATGTTATAGGGCCCTGCGCTCCCTGAGGGTTTCAATGGTGGTGTCTGAGTCAGCGGAGGGAGGGGTAGATTGATAGGGGTCAGCAGAGCTACAGCCAGCCTGTCAGGGCAACAGCCACCCCGTCAGTCACCCAGAGTCAGTCAGTCAGGGCCACAGCCAACCAGCCAGCAACCAGCCAGCCAGCCAGCCAGGCCTCTTATTGCAGCCAGCCAGGCAACCAGCCAGCCAGCAACCTGCCAGCCAGCCAGGCCTCTTATTGCAGCCAGCCAGGCAACCAGCCAGCCAACCAGGCCTCTTATTGCAGCCAGCCAGGCCTCGTATTGCAACCAGCCAGGACTCGTATTGCAGCCAGCCAGGACTCGTATTGCAGCCAGCCAGGCAAGCAGCCAGCCAGCCAGGACTCGTATTGCAGCCAGCCAGGCAACCAGCCAGCCAGCCAGGCCTCTTACTGCAGCCAGCCAGTCATACCAGGGCAACACAGGGTTTTCCTCTGGCTCATGTCATAGAGAAGGTCTTTCTATAGATTCCTGTCCTGCATGGGTATTATTTCTCTCTAGTCTGTATAACCTGCTGGCTGACTGACTACAACCTGCTGCTGTAGGATGCCTGAAGCACGGTCTGAGTGGCTGGCCTGTTTCCATGTGGTTACAGTGGGCAATCAGACCTCTCCTGTGATGGAGCCAAGGGACACAGAGAGAGAGAAGAGACAGCGAGTGAAGGAAAGCAGGAGAGAGAGGGTGAGCGAGTGGTCTGGTCTGCCAAGGGAAGCATTCTGTGAGCAATTAATGTGTCCAATAAAAACCACACAACACACAAAAACACACAACAACAAACACACAACAACACAAACACACAACCTTCTCCAGTCCACTGTCCTACAGATGTAGACTTCTCAGAAAAAGCTTGCTCTCTCTCTGCCTCTCCCGCTCTACCTCTCCCTCTCTCTCTCTACCGCTCTCTCTAAATGCCCGGCTATGAAAAGCCAAGTGACATTTACTCCTGATGTACTGACCTGTTGCAACCTCTACAACCACTGTGATTATTATTTCACACTGCTGGTCATCTATGAACGTTTCAACATCTTGGAGAAAAATCTGGCCTTAATGGCCATGTACTGTTATAATCTCCACCCGGCACAGCCATAAGGGGACTGGCCACCCCTCAGAGCCTGGTTCCTCTCTACCCGGCACAGCCAGAAGGGGACTGGCCACCCCTCAGAGCCTGGTTCCTCTCTAGGTTTCTGCCTTTCAAGGGAGTTTTTCCTAGCCACCGTGCTTCTACATCTGCATTGCTTGCTGTTTGGGGTTTTAGGCTGGGTTTCTGCCGATGTAAAAAGGGCTTTACAAATAAACGTGATTGATTGATAATGGATGGGCTGGACATGCCGAGAGATGAGTTTGGATTGGTCTGCCATGTAGCAGCTTCTGTCTATAACATGAGCTGGTCAGTATATGTAGGTAATCCTTTCTAACGCAGCCTTTTTTGAAAGATATCACGTAGTAGAAATACAAAAGGTGTTGCTCTCCACTTTCTGGAGGACCGAGTTTTGAAATCAGTGGAATGCACAGTGGAATTAGAGTATGATAGCTAAGGAGATGGAGAAAATTCTGGCGTTTGATTGCAAATATACAGACGGAGTCGAAAAGAAAAACACAGAAGGCTGTTGTATAAAACATCTGTCTCCGGATTACATCTTCAAACTAAGGGCAACCATGGCATCCGTGACAGAGAGGGAGAAGCGTCCATCCATGTATACGGGTAAGATAGTTTAGCTAGCTACATTTTCAGATATTACACGTTTCTAATTTTGAATTAAAAGTTAAAGCGTACTGTTAGCTAGCTAGCTATGATCTGTCTAGTAATATTATTCGTATCTCAGAGCCATTTGCATTGCTAGTTATAGCCTAATGTTAGCTAGCTAGTTAACATTTAACCTGGTTAGTTAGCTACCCGCAGATTCATGCAGGATAGTAACATTATGAGTTGGGATTATGGTTCATTGTTTAACTAGCTAGCTACATGTCTAAACAAAAGACTCCACTATGCAAATAACCATTTCAATAGAATGTTCATGTCACTGCGAAAACTGTCGATAGACGTAGCTGGTAAATTCGCTCTGGCTATCTACTCCGATTTCAGAGCACTCTCGTCTGAGTGTGCCAGAGCGCAGAATAACTGACGAATTTACGAACGCTTAACACCTGTTGAATATGGCCGCTGTCAGTAACCGTTGGCAAAAAAGCTTAATTAAATTGTTGCCAGCAGCACAGTTGCAGTCACCAACGCTCTGGATAACATAAAAACTGCCTAACCAGCTCTGCTAGGGCGAGTAAAATGGTCAGAGTGAGCTGTTCCCATATTTGTGTCTGGAAGTAGCTAGCAAGCTAGCCAACGTTAGCTCGGGTGCTTGACTGCTGTTAGGTCAGAATGCTCGGAAGACCCTACTCCTCGGCCAGCGAGTCCAGTGTGCGCTCTGAACAGACAGAGAGCGAAACGCTCTGAATTTACGAACGGACAATCTTAACAACGCTCTGAGTTACGAACGCCAAGAGCGCACTGAGCACACACTGGCACTCCAGATTGAATTTATGAACACACCCGTAGAATAAACCAGCCTTTAGTCTTGAAATCTTTGGTAGTTTAGCACATGGCCTCACATGTGAATCCTTAAAGAACTGGGTGGGGCTAAAGCTTAAGAGGGTGTGAACGATGCTGAATGGTTGTAAACAAAGAAGAGCTCTTCAGTAGGTTTATCAACTTTCAAAGCAGAATTAAATTTCCCATTGTTCCTCAACTGCAGTGTATGATATACCATTTTCTAGTTCTGAGTCTCTACTTTTATCCAATGTAAAAAAACACAATGTCAAATTTTACTACATAAGATCGAATCGAGCCGGTCGTCACATTTGGCTGTTTTTTCCCCATGTAATTCAGCAGTTTTTTACATGTAATCCAGTTTGTGTCATGTTAATTTGGCTGTTTTTTTTACATGTAGTTCAGCTCGTGTCTTGTTAATTTGGCTGTTTTTTACATGTAATTCAGCTCGTTTCATGTTAATTTGGCTTTTTGCGAACTGTGGAAAGAACTTTGCAGACGACCAAAACATGTAAATCCTGAAAAGTTGCTGTGCCACCGCTCTGTCTGAGCTTGATGCTTATTATTGGATATATCAGGTTACAAAATCTGACTTTTTGGATATATTGTTAATTACATGTTAGAGAAAGACCCCACTGAACTAATCAGAACAAATCATATTTGTCTTGGTAAAATTTATTTTATACCTGGGCAGAGTGGGTGGACACCCTGCATTATACAGTCTTTGTTTACCTGGTTGTTTGTAATGCCTCAGTATTATTTCCATTCATGAACTCAGGTACAATGTAACTAAGTACTTACTCTGATCGTCGTCGAGCTTCCATGCCATCCGGTAGAAACAGCTTGATTGTAGACACTATGCAGCCATGGGTGACTGCAACACACCCACAGAACAAGTGTTATTATCCACCCTCATGTCGTCACGACCCATTCCTACAGTGCATTCGGAAAGTATTCAGACCCCTTGACTTTTTTCACATTTTGTACTTGGTTTCATCAGACCAGAGAATCTTGTTTCTCATGGTCTGAGAGTCCTTTAGCTGCCTTTTGGTCAACTCCAAGCGGGCTGTCATGTGCCTTTTACTGAGGAGTGGCTTCCGTCTGGCCACTCTACCATAAAGGCCTGATTTGGTGAAGTGCTGCAGAGATGGTTGTCCTTCTGGAAGGTTCTCCCATCTCCGCAGAGGAACTCTGGAGCTCTGTCAGAGTGACCATCGGGTTCTTGGTCACCTCCCTGACCAAGGCCCTTCTACCCCGATTGCTCAGTTTGGCCGGGCGGCCAGCTCTAGGAAGAGTCTTGGTGGTTCCAAACTTCTTCCATTTACGAATGATGTAGGCCACTGTGTTCTTGGGGACCTTCGATACAGCAGACATTTTTTGGTACCCTTCCCCAGATCTGTGCCTCGACACAATCCTGTCTCAGAGCTCTACAGACAATTCCTTCGACCTCATGCCTTGCTTTCTCTGACATGCACTGTCAACTGTGGGACCTTATATAGACAGGTGTGTGCCTTTCCAAATCATATCCAATCAGGTGGACTCCAAGTTGTAGAAACATCTCAAGGATGATCAATGGAAACAGGACCTGAGCTCAATTTCAAGTATCATAGCAAAGGGTGAATACTTATGTAAATAAGGTAACTGTTTTTTATTTGTAATAAATCTGCTCAAAATGTTTAAAAACCTGTTTTCACTTTGTCATTATGGTGCATTGTGCTTATATTAATGAGGATTTTATATTTATTTAATCCATTTTAGAATAAGGTTGTAACGTAACAAAATGCAGAAAAAGTCAAGGGGTCTGAATACTTCCCGAATGCACTGTATATAAAAGAATCAACAGTCACTTGTTTTTAACTACGACAGAGACATTTAAGTGAATGTTTCCAACATAACATAGGTACAGCAAATCCCCTTCCTGTATGGGACACTTTTAAAATGTGCTTTTAGAGGCCATGCAATTCAGTACTCATCTCGAAAACCAAAGCAATTTAGGTCAAGAGAGTCAATACTAACAAAGGAAATAGAAGGTCTAACAGAACAGATAGATAGCAATAAAAACTGTAACATAGAGGCTCAGAATAAATTAGAGGAAAAACAAAAAGAAATGGAGGACCTTATTTAAGAAAGATCAAGTGTAATATATTATTAAAAATAAAGCAAACTGGATGGAATATGGGGAAAAATTCACCAAATTATTTTTTAATCTTCAACATAGAAATGCTACCAAAAAGATGACGGAGTCACACATGATTCACCAAATGATATTTTGAAGGAGAAACAAAAGTACTTTAAGGACATGTTTTCGTTTCAGTCGCCTCCATCTCCTCTAAATGAAGCTAATTGTAGGGATTTTTTTTCTATTGATAACGTAGAATTAACAGCCATACAGAAAGACTCATGTGAAATTACAGAGGAGGAACTTCTGGATGCAATTAACGACATTAAGTCCGCGAAAACTCCAGGGTCGGATGGCATACCAGTTGAGGTATACCAAACCTTTTTTGATATACTCAGAGGACCGTTATTAGCATGTTTTAACCACTCCTATGTGAATGCTAGATTATCTGACACTCAAGAAGAAGGTCTGATTTCATTATTACTGAAACAGGATACAAGTGGGAAATATAAAGATCCAGTCCATTTAAAAAATTGGAGGCTCCTTACACTTCAGTGTTGTGATGCAAAAATCCTAGCAAAATGTATTTTAAACAAGAATAAAAAAGGTATCATTCTAATCAGACAGGCTTTTTACATGGAAGATACATTGGAGATAATATAAGGCAAGTACTGGAAATCATAGAACACTATGGAAAATCTGGGAAACCAGACCTGGTATTCATAGCAGACTTCGAAAAGGCTTTTGATAACGTACGACTGGAGTTTATATATAACAGTCTGCTGTAGTTTACAACAATTCTAATTTCTAAAGTGGAAGTTGGGAGAGTTTTACTCGGGTGGTTCAGTGAAACAATTATAGTTTCTGAGGTGGAAGTTGGGAGAGTTATATATATAATTTTTTTTTTTTGGTGAGGGAGGCCTGCTCTCTCCTTTCCCAGATGTTTAGTTCATTTCATTCCGATCTCCTCTGCATTATTGTAGCCATCTGCTGCAGCCTGTCAAAGATTGCCTCTGCCTATCCCTGTTCTCTCCTCTCCGCACAGGCTACACAAACGCCTCACACCGCGTGGCTGCTGCCTCTCTAACCTGGTGGTCCCTGCACGCACCACACACCTGGAGTTCCAGGTCTCAGGCAGCCTCTGGAACTGCCGTTCTGCCGCCAACAAGGCTGACTTCATCCCAGCCTATGCTAACCCTCCAGTCCCTCGACTTCCTGGCGCTGACGGAAACATGGATTACCACTGAAAACACTGCAACTCCTACTGCTCTCTCCTCGTCTGACCATGTGTTCTCGCATACCCCGAGAGCATCTGGTCAGAGGGGTGGTGGCACAGGAATCCTCATCTCTCCCAAGTGGTCATTCTCAATTTTTCCCCTAACCCATCTGTCTATCTCCTCATTTGAATTCCACGCTGTCACAGTCACTAGCCCATTTAAGCTTAATATCCTTGTCATCTATCGCCCTCCAGGTTCCCTTGGAGAGTTCATCAATGAGCTTGACGCCTTGATAAGTTCCTTTCCTGAGGATGGCTCACCCTTCACAGTTTTGGGGGATTTCAACCTCCCTACGTCTACATTGACTCATTTCTCTCTGCCTCCTTCTTTCCACTCCTCTCCTCTTTTGACCTCACCCTCTCACCATCCCCCCCCCACTCACAAGGCAGGCAATACGCTTGACTTCATCTTTACTAGATGTTGCTCTTCTACTAATCTCACTGCAACTCCCCTCCATGTCTCCGACCACTACTTTGTATCCTTTTCTCTCTCGCTCTCCTCCAACACTACTCACTCTGCCCCTACACAGATGGTAACGCGCCGCCGCAACCTTCGCTCTCTCTCTCCCACTACTCTCTCCTCTTCCATCCTATCATCTCTTCCCTCTGCTCAATCCTTCTCCCTCCAATCTCCTGATTCTGCCTCCTCAACCCTCCTCTCCTCCCTTTCTGCATCCTTTGACTCTCTGTGTCCCCTATCCTCCCGGCCGGCTCGGTCCTCCCCTCCAGCTCCGTGGCTTGATGACTCATTGCGAGCTCACAGAACAGAGCTCCGGGCAGCTGAGCGGAAATGGAAGAAAACTAAACTCCCTGCCGACCTGGCATCTTTTCACTCCCTCCTCTCTACATTTTCTTCATCTGTTTCTGCTGCTAAGGCCACTTTCTACCACTCTAAATTCCAAGCATCTGCCTCTAACCCTAGGAAGCTCTTTGCCACATTCTCCTCACTGCTGAATCCCCCCCCCCCCCCCCCCTCCTCCCTCTCTGTGGATGACTTTGTCAACCACTTTGAAAAGAAGGTTGACGACATCCGATCCTCGTTTGTTAAGTCAAATGACACTGCTGGTCCTGCTCACACTGCCCTACCCTATGCTTTGACTTCTTTCTCCCCTCTCTCTCCAGATAAAATCTTGCGACTAGTGACTGCAGGCCGCCCAACAACCTGCCCGCTTGACCCCATCCCCTCCTCTCTTCTCCAGACCATCTCCGGTGACCTTCTCCCCTACCTCACCTCGCTGATCAACTCATCCTTGACCGCTGGCCATGTCCCTTCCATCTTCAAGAGAGCGAGAGTTGCACCCCTTCTCAAAAAACCAACACTCGATCCCACTGATGTCAACAACTACAGACCAGTATCCCTTCTTTCTTTTCTTTCCAAAACTATTGAGCGTGCCGTCTTTAGCCAACTCTCTTGCTATCTCTCTCAGAATGACCTTCTTGATCCAAACCAGTCAGGTTTCAGGACTGGTCATTCAACTGAGACTGCTCTTCTCTGTGTCACGGAGGCTCTCCGCACTGCTAAAGCTAACTCTCTCTCCTCTGCTCTTGTCCTTCTAGACCTGTCTGCTGCCTTTGATACAGTGAACCATCAGATCCTCCTCTCCACCCTCTCCGAGCTGGGCATCTCCGGCGCGGCTCACTCCTGGATTGCGTCCTACCTGACCGGTCGCTCCTACCAAGTGGCGTGGCGAGAAGCTGTCTCCGCACCACGTGCTCTCACCACTGGTGTCCCCCAGGGCTCAGTTCTAGGCCCTCTCCTTTTCTCCCTATACACCAAGTCACTTGGCTCTGTCATATCCTCACATGGCCTCTCCTATCATTGCTACGCTGACGATACACAACTAATCTTCTCCTTTCCCCCTTCTGATAACCAGGTGGCGAATCACATCTCTGCATGTCTGGCCGACATATCAGTATGGATGACGGATCACCACCTCAAGCTGAACCCTGGCAAGACGGAGCTGCTCTTCCTCCCGGGGAAGGACTGCCCGTTCCATGATCTCGCCATCACGGTTGACAACTCCGTTGTGTCCTCCTCCCAGAGTGCGAAGAGCCTTGGCGTGACCCTGGACAACACCCTGTCGTTCTCCGCTAACATCAAGGCGGTGACCCGATCCTGCAGGTTCATGCTCTACAACATTCGGAGAGTACGACCCTGCCTTACACAGGAAGCGGCACAGGTCCTAATCCAGGCACTTGTCATCTCCCGTCTGGATTACTGCAACTCGCTGTTGGCTGGGCTCCCTGCCTGTGCCATTAAACCCCTACAACTCATCCAGAATGCCGCAGCCCGTCTGGTGTTCAACCTTCCCAAGTTCTCTCACGTCACCCCCCCTCCTCCGCACACTCCACTGGCTTCCAGTTGAAGCTCGCATCCGTTACAAGACCATGGTGCTTGCCTATGGAGCAGTGAGGGGAACGGCACCTCCGTACCTTCAGGCTCTGATCAGTCCCTACACCCAAACGAGGGCATTGCGTTCATCCACCTCTGGCCTGCTGGCTCCCCTTCCTCTGCGGAAGCATAGTTCCCGCTCAGCCCAGTCAAAACTGTTCGCTGCTCTGGCACCCCAATGGTGGAACAAGCTCCCTCACGACGCCAGGACAGCGGAGTCACTCACCACCTTCCGGAGACATTTGAAACCACCTCTTTAAGGAACACCTGGGATAGGATAAAGTAATCCTTCTAACCCCCCCCAAAAAAAAAAAAAAAAAGTATAATTGTAAAGTGGTTATCCCACTGGCTATAGGGTGAATGCACCAATTTGTAGTCGCTCTGGATAAGAGCGTCTGCTAAATGACGTAAATGTGCCCTTGAGCAAGGCACTTAACCCTAATTGCTCCTGTAAGTCGCTCTGGATAAGAGCGTCTGCTAAATGACTAAAATGTAAATGTTATAAAATGGGTTAAAATCATGTATAGTAACCCTAGGTGTAAAATAGTAAATAATGGCTATTTCTCAGAAGGTTTTAAAATGTCAAGAGGAGTAAAACAAGGTTGTCCACTATCAGCATATCTATTTATTAGGGCCATCGAAATGTTAGCTATTAAAAAATCAGATCCAACAATAATATCAAGGGATTAGAAATCCAGGGCTTAAAAACAAAAGTGTGTCATTATACGCTGATGATTCATGTTGTTTTCTTTTAAATCCACATATTGAATCCCTCCACAGCCTCATAGAGGATCTAGATACATTTTCTAACCTCTGGATTACAACCAAATTATGACAAATGTACTATATTACGTATTGGATCAGTAAAAAAAATACTATTTTTACATTACCATGTAGTTTACCAATAAAAATGGTCTGATGGTGATGTGGATATACTCGGAATACATATCCCAAAAGAAATAAATGATCTCACTCCAATACATTTTAATAGAAATTTAGCAAAAATAGATAAGATCTTGCTACCATGGAAAGGTAAATACCGGTCTATTTGTGGGGAAAAAAAATCACCCTGATTAACTTTTTAGTATTATCCCAGTTTACCTATTTGTTTATGGTCTTGCCTACGCCTAGCGAACAGGTCTTTAAATTATATGAGAAAAAAATATTCAATTTTATTTGGAACGGCAAGCCAGACAAAATTAAAACGGGCCTATTTATATAATGAATATGAATTCGGAGGACAGAAATTATTAAATTTTAAAGCATTAGACCTATCACTAAAAGCTTCAGTCATACAAAAGTTATACTTAAATCTGAACTGGTTCTCTAGCAAATTAGTAAGATTGTCTCACCCAATGTTCAAAAATTGCCTTTTTCCCTTTATTAAGATTACAACCTCTCACTTTCAGTTATTTGAAAAGGAAATAATCTCCCAAATATCACTATTTCTAAAACAAGTCATAGAAAGTTGGTTGCAATTTCAATTTAATACTCCAGAAACGACAGAACAAATAATGCAACAAATATTGTGGTTAAACTCAAAATACACTGATAAAAAAAACATACTTTTTTGAAAAAATGTTTTAAAAAATGTATAATCTTTGTAAATTATATCATAAGTAGAACTGGTGGAGTTGTCACACATGCAGCTAGCAAAAACATATGGAAATGTCTGCTCTACCCAAAATTAAAACCAAATAATTGCAGCATTACCGCAAAAATGGAAGAGGAAAGTGGAAGAGGGAAAAAGTTGGTTAAAGAACATAATTGGTTAAAGAAAATTGTGATAAATAAACAAGTATACCAGTTTCATTTAAGGACCAAAGGATTGACAGCCGTCCCATATAGATTGCAAAATAGTTGGGGAAGAGATTTTTGACATACCGATTCCATGGCATAGTGTTTATGAACTGACAGGCAAAACGACGCCGGATTCAAAGCTTAAATTAAATTATTGTACAAAATTCTTGCTACCAATAGAATGTTATTTATATGTCCCCTGTAGCTCAGTTGGTAGAGCATGGCGCTTGCAACGCCAGGGTTGTGGGTTCGTTTCCCACGGGGGGCCAGTATGAAAATGTATGCACTCACTAACTGTAAGTCGCTCTGGATAAGAGCGTCTGCTAAATGACTAAAATGTAAAATGGATACAATCTTCCCAGCTCTGCAGATTTTGCTACGAAGAGACAGAATCCTTAGATCATTTGTTTTGGTACTGTCCATTTGTAGCTTGTTTTTGGTCACAGGTTCAGGAATGTCTAAAGGATTGCAATATTTACCTGGAGCTAACCCTGCAGATAGCATTACTGGATGATCTGAAAAGTCATAGACAATCGATCAATAATACATTTACATTTGTACATTTTAGTCATTTAGCAGACGCTCTTATCCAGAGCGACTTACAGTTAGTGAGTGCATACATTTTTTATTTTTTCATACTGGCCCCCCGTGGGAATCGAACCCACAACCCTGGCATTGCAAACGCCATGCTCTACCAACTGAGCTACATCCCTGCTGGCCATTCCCTCCCCTACCCTGGACGACGCTGGGCCAATTGTGCGCCGCCCCATGGGTCTCCCGGTCACGGCCAGCTACGACAGAGCCTGGATTCGAACCAGGATCTCTAGTGGCACAGCTAGCACTAGCACTGTGATGCAGTGCCTTAGACCACTGCGCCACTCGGGAGATAATAATAATAATACTTTTAACAAAAAAATATATTTTCAATTTACAATCTGTAGAAACTATGAGAATAGAAGGGTTCAGAACTTTTGTGAAACCTCACAGTTGAAAAATATATGGCAAATAGAAATCCAATATGGATGGTGTTAAGAGATAGATGGGAGGTGTTGAACGGAGATGAAGGATGGGACTAATAACTAATAACAACAAAATAACTAATGTAAAACATACTGTGTCCATAATAAGTATATAGGTTATAGGTTGAGAACTTTTGTGAAAGAGCACAGTTTGAAAGATATGGCATATAGAAGCAAACCGGATTGACATCATGAAAATGATCGGAGAGGTTGAGTTCAGGAGTAAAAACAAACAAAATAGAATTATTGTAAAATTGACTGTGTCCATAAAATGTATATAGTATGTATAAGCTGGAAATATAGGCCTAAGCATTGTTGTTCACTAGTTTACTCCAATTAGGGAAGGGGTGGCGGGGTTGGAAAGTAATAAAGGGAAATATATATTTTTAAAGGATATGTATATATATGTATGTAGATGTATTTATATGTATGTAGATGTATGTAGATATATTTGCGAGATAAAAAAAACATATGGGGGATTGGAAGTGATGCAGACAATTACATTGATGGAAGTTACAATCTATCTGCAATATTAAAGCTGATCTACCCCCTAAAAAGATGAGGCTAGTAGATCAATTTCAACCCAGACCAATCATTTCAGTAGGTGGACCGTGACGGATTACAGTTTCACTACTACTAACAATTCTCTGAAGAGAGTCATTGCTAGATGATGTAAGATAGCTTGTCTTTGCTGATTTATTCATAGTGGAGAAACAACCACACTAAACGCACTGCCTTCACCCGTCAAGGAAGCTGTGGTGTAGGCCAATATACCGTTTATACCATACAACGGGATATTTCGAAATTTACAATAACGTTTAAAATAATGAATACATTTGAGGCGGGTTGCATGCTACGCCACTGCTTATAACTATAAATTAAGTATAACTATAAGATATCTAAGATGTGTCAAATAAATGATATCCAGCTCAGGAATCCAGCTATGCATTTGGTTTGCTAACTTGTTAGATGTTTATCTCAAGCTTCTTGACATTCAAACCCCTCCTGGATCAAGATCCCTGTTGCCGAAATAGCACCCCTTGCGTGCACATTCGGTAATACCATATACTCCGGAATGGTAGAGAAACTGTATGAAGATCTGGATACCGCCCAACCCTGATATAGTGTATCTGACTTACTAAGAAGCTGTGGTGACATCTTGCATCATGAAGAAAGCAGCCATTTCATCACTTCTAGAGCTGCAATCAGACACTACTGCAGTCTGTCAAACCCTACACACTCCTCTCACACGCACACTGGACTCCCTGCCAAGATGCTTACATCATGGCCTAACCGTGCAACCAGACCACACCATTAAAAAAAATGGCCAGCAGAATAACACGCAGCAGGGTTTCAGTCAGGAAAATTGCGCCCGACAATGTGACCGGGACAATTTTATTTTACAGGCCATTTGAGAAATGTACTGGACCCCATATGCATTGGGTGCGTAAACCCATTAGGGCATCCACCCACAGTGCACAGAATAACAGAAATCACATTTTGATCATGGAAATAGATTTTTACAGAACATGTAGCTGTTCAGTGTCCTGTTGGTTCCAGACTTGGTGCATCGGTACCGCTTGCCATGCCGTAGCAGAGAGAACAGTCTATGACTTGGGTGGCTGGAGTCTGAAAATGTGTAGGGCCTTTCTCTGACACCGCCTGGTATAGATGTCCTGGATGGCAGGATGCTCAGCCTCAGTGATGTACTGGGCTGAACGGGATACCCTTGGGATACCCTTGCGGTCAGATGCCAACCACTTTTCTGTGGTTAAATGCGGTGGTTTGCGCTTTCAGGTTTGCACAAATGCTGCCATCTAGCCACAGTTTTTGGTTTGGGTAAGGTAATAGTCACAGTGGGAACAACACCTATACACTTCCTGATGAACTCAGTCACCGTGTCAGTGTAAACGTCAATGTTATTCTCAGAGGCTACCTGGAACATATCCCAGTCCACGAGATCAAAAGGGTCTTGAACCATGGATTACGATTGGTCAGACCAGGGTTGAATAGACCTTAGCACGGGTACTTCCTGCTTGAGTTGTCGTCTAAAGGAAGGGTAGCAGAATGGAGTCGTGATCTGATTTATCGAAGGAAGTGCGGGGAAGGGCCTTGTAGCCATCCCGGAAGGGAGAGTAACAATGGTCAATAGTTTTTGAAGAGCGAGTACTACAGGCAATGTGTTGATAGAACTTCGGTAGCGTTTTCCTCAGATTTGCTTTGTTAAAGTCCCCAGCTACAATAAATGTGGCCTCAGGATGTGGTTTCCAGCGTGCACAAAGTCCAGTGGATGAACAAGATGCTAAACTAAAGGACTGTTTTGCTAGCACACACTGGAATTTGCTCCGGGATTCTTCCGATGGCATTGAGGAGTACCCCACATCAGTCTCTGGCTTCATCAATAAGTGCCTCGATGACGTCGTCCTCACAGTGACTGTACGTACATACCCAAACCAGAAGCCATGGATTACAGGCAACATCCGCACTGAGCTAAAGGGCAGAGCTGCCACTTTCAAGAAGCAGGACTCTAACCCGGACGCTTATAAGAAATCCCGCTATGCCCTCCGACGAACCATCAAACAGGCAAAGAGTCAATACAGGACTAAGATTGAATCCTACTACACCGGCTCTGACGCTCGTCGGATGTGGCAGGGCTTGCAAACTATTACAGACTACAAAGGGAAGCACAGCCGCGAGCTGCCCAGTGACACGGGCCTACCAGACGAGCTAAATTACTTCTGTGCTCGTGTCGAGGCAAGTAACACTGAAACATGCATGAGAGCATCAGCTGTTCCGGGCGACTGTGTGATCACGCTCTCCGTAGCCGATGTGAGTAAGACCTTTAAAACAGGTCAACAGTCACAAGGCCGCAGGGCCAGACGGATTACCAGGATGTGTACTCCGAGCATGCGCTGACCAACTGGCAAGTGTCTTCACTGACATTTTGAACATGTCCCTGACTGAGTCTGTAATAGCAACATGTTTCAAGCAGACCACCATAGCCCTGTGCCCAAGAACACTAAGGTAACCTGCCTAAATGACTACCGACCCGTAACACTCACGTCTGTAGCCATGAAGTGCTTTGAAAGGCTGGTCAGGGCTCACATCAACACCATTATCCCAGAAACCCTAGACCCACTCCAATTTACATACCGCCCCAACAGATCCACAGATGATGCACTCGATTGCGCTCCAGACTGCCCTTTCACACCTGGACAAAAGGAACACCTATGTGAAAATACTATTCATTAACTACAGCTCAGCATTCAACACCATAGTGCCCTCAAAGCTCATCACTAAGCTAAGGACCCTGGGACTAAACACCTCCCTCTGCAACTGGATCCTGGACTTCCTGACGGGCCGCACCCAGGTGGTAAGGGTAGGTAACAGCACATCCACCACACTGATCCTCAACACGGGGGCCCCTCAGGGGTGCGTGCTCAGTCCCCTTCTGTACTCCCTGTTCACTCATGACTGCATGGCCATGCACGACTCCAACACCATCATTAAGTTTGCAGACAACACAACAGTGGTAGGCCTGATCACTGACAACAACGATCCAGTTGCAAAAACGTTTATTTTTTTTAGGTGTTCTTACCTAAAACTGCATTTCACTAAGGTCTACACCTGGCCGTGTGGTCCAGGACAACAACCTCTCCCTCAACATGATCAAGACAAAGGAGATGATTGTGGTCTACAGGAAAAAGAAGAGGACCGAGCACGCCCCCATTCTCATCGATGGGGCTGTTGTGGAGCAGGTTGAGAGCTTCAAGTTCCTGGGTGTCCACATCACCAACAAACTAACATGGTCCAAGCACACCAAGACAGTCGTGAAGAGGGCACGACAAAACCTATTCCCCCTAAGGAGACTGAAAAGATTTGGCATGGGTCCTCAGATCCTCAAAAGGTTCTACAGCTGCACCATCGAGAGCATCCTGACTGGTTGCATCACTGCTTGGTATGGCAACTGCTCGGCCTCCGACCGCAAGGCACTACAGAGGGTAGTGCGTAAGGCCCAGTACATCACTGGGACCAAGCTTCTACCCACATGTCCTCAGTTACCTCAACTAACCGGTGCCCCCGCACATTGACTCGGTACCGGCACCCCCTGTATATAGCCTTGCTACTGTTATTTTACTGCTGCTCTTTAATTATTTGTTACTTTTATTTTTTTTAGGTGTTCTTACCTAAAACTGCATTTCACTAAGGTCTACACCTGTTGTATTCGGAGCATGTCACAAATATAATTTGATTTGAAGGCGAGGTCAGTACAGGTGCATCAAAGCTGGGACAGAGAGACTGAAAAACAGCTTCTATCTGAAGGCCATCAGACTGTTAAATAGCCATCACTAGCCGGCTACCACCCGGTTATGTAACCCTGCACCTTAGAGGCTGCTGCCCTATAGACTTGAAATCACTGGCCACTTTAATAATGGAACACTAGTCACTTTAATAATGTTTACATACTGCTTTCCTCATCTCATATGTACAGTGGGGAGAACAAGTATTTGATACACTGCCGAAAATCCAGAAAATCACATTGTATGATTTTTAAGTAATTCATTTGCATTTTATTGCATGACATAAGTATTTGATCACCTACCAACCAGTAAGAATTCCGGCTCTCACAAACCTGTTAGTTTTTCTTTAAGAAGCCCTCCTGTTCTCCACTCATTACCTGTATTAACTGCACCTGTTTGAACTTGTTACCTGTATAAAAGACATCTGTCCACACACTCAATCAAACAGACTCCAACCTCCCCACAATGGCCAAGACCAGAGAGCTGTGTAAGGACATCAGGGATAAAATTGTAGACCTGCACAAGGCTGGGATGGGCTACAGGACAATAGGCAAGCAGCTTGGTGAGAAGGCAACAACTGTTGGCGCAATTATTAGAAAATGGAAGAAGTTCAAGATGACGGTCAATCACCCTCGGTCTGGGGCTCCATGCAAGATCTCACCTCGTGGGGCATCAATGATCATGAGGAAGGTGAGGGATCAGCCCAGGGATCAGCCCAGAACTACACGGCAGGACCTAGTCAATGACCTGAAGAGAGCTGGGACCACAGTCTCAAAGAAAACCATTAGTAACACACTACGCCGTCATGGATTAAAATCCTGCAGCGCACGCAACGTCCCCCTGCTCAAGCCAGCGCATGTCCAGGCCCGTCTGAAGTTTGCCAATGACCATCTGGATGATCCAGAGGAGGAATGGGAGAAGGTCATGTGGTCTGATGAGACAAAAATAGAGCTTTTTGGTCTAAACTCCACTCGCCGTGTTTGGAGGAAGAAGAAGGATGAGTACAACCCCAAGAACACCATCCCAACCGTGAAGCATGGAGGTGGAAACATCATTCTTTGGTGATGCTTTTCTGCAAAGGGGACAGGACGACAGCACCGGGAGGATGGATGGGGCCATGTATCGCGAGATCTTGGCCAACAACCTCCTTCCCTCAGTAAGAGCATTGAAGATGGGTCGTGGCTGGGTCTTCCAGCATGACAACGACCCGAAACACACAGCCAGGGCAACTAAGGAGTGGCTCCGTAAGAGGCATCTCAAGGTCCTGGAGTGGCCTAGCCAGTCTCCAGACCTGAACCCAATAGAAAATCTTTGGAGGGAGCTGAAAGTCCATATTGCCCAGCGACAGCCCCGAAACCTGAAGGATCTGGAGGAGGTCTGTATGGAGGAGTGGGCCAAAATCCCTGCTGCATTGTGTGCAAACCTGGTCAAGACCTACAGGAAATGTTGATCTCTGTAATTGCAAACAAAGGTTTCTGTACCAAATATTAAGTTCTGCTTTTCTGATGTATCAAATACTTATGTCATGCAATAAAATGAAAACGAATTACTTAAAAATCATACATTGTGATTTTCTGGATTTTTGTTTTAGATTCTGTCTCTCACAGTTGAAGTGTACCTATGATAAAAAATTACAGACCTAAAACCTGCAAAATCAGCAGTGTATCAAATACTTGTTCTCCCCACTGTATATACTGTATTCTATTCTACTGTATTTTAGTCAAACCACTCCGACATTGTTCATCCTAATATTTATATATTCCTTAATTCCATTATTTTACTTTTAGATGTGTGTGTATTGTTGTGAATTGTTAGATACTACTGCACTGTTGGAGCTAGGAACACAAGCGTTTCGCTACACCCGCAATAACATCTGCTAAACACGTATATGTGAGAAATAGAAATGTGACCTCTATTGGCAGTGACCTCAACCCACCCAATAATAGCTCCTTTCCCCTGAATTGTACACTCCACCTGTTCCCTACTTCCCACAAATCTAAAAGCATTGGAGTGGTGGAGACATAGACTGGGAAGTTCTCACTATTTCTTATACCAGTCACTTCCTTTCGATTCAGTGAAGTGAAGTGAACGAGTGCACAGTTTGGGAGGAAGAACAGATCATTGGGATGCGAACCTTGTTGTATAGGTCTCCTACGTGTAGAACAGATGTAACTCTTGTTGTATAGGTCCCCTATGTGTACCATTGAGATGGACGTACTTGATCCAGCGCCACTGAAGGACCTACTTGATCCAGCGCCACTGAAGGACCTACTTGATCCAGCGCCACTGAAGGACCTACTTGATCCAGCGCCACTGAAGGACCTACTTGATCCAGCGCCACTGAAGGACCTACTTGATCCAGCGCCACTGAAGGACGTACTTGATCCAGCACCACTGAAGGACGTACTTGATTCAGCACCACTGAAGGACACACACTTCAGCACAGTATTTTGCATTTAGTATTTTATTATGGATCCCCATTAATTCCTGCCAAGGCAGCAGCTACTCTTCCTGGGGTCCAGCAAAATTAAGGCAGTTATACAATTTTAAACACATTACATTCACAACATTAAGTGTGTGCCCTCAGGCCCCTACTCCACCACATATCTACAGTACAACAATCCATGTGTATAGTGCGTATGTTGTGTGTTTGTATGCACGTGTCTACGTTTGTGTCTCTTCACAGTCCCCGCTGTTCCATAAGGTGGATTTGTACCATTTTTTTTTTATATAATCTGATTCTACTGCTTGCATCAGTTACCTGATGTGGAATAGAGTTTCATGTAGTCATGGCTCTATGTATTACTGTGCGCCTCCCATAGTCTGTTCTGGACTTGGGGACTGTGAAGAGACCTCTGGTGACATGTCTTGTGGGGTATGCATAGGTGTCCAAGCTATGTGCTAGTATTTTAAAAACAGACAGCTCAGTACATTCAGCTTGTCAACAACTCTTACAAAAACAAGCAGTGATGAAGTCAATCTCTCTTCCACTCTAAGCCAGGAGAGACTGACATGCATGTCATTAATGTTAGCTCTCCGTGTACTTTCAGGTGGTATGTAACGTTCAGACTATCCACACTCCAACACAGTAGCAGGTGGTATGTAACGTTCAGACTATCCACACTCCAACACAGTAGCAGGTGGTATGTAACGTTCAGACTATCCACACTCCAGTACAGTAGCAGGTGGTATGTAAAGTTTTGATATTTCCCACTCCAGGGAAATTTGCAGATTGGGATGTAACGGTTTTAGACTATCCACCTCCAAAAAAGTAAACAGGGGTATGTAACCCTTCAACTATCCACCCCAAACCCCCAGTAGCAGGTGGTAGTAAATTCCCGCTACCACACTCCCAAAAAAGTAGCAGGGGGTATTAAAGTTCCGACTATCCCAAATCCAGTACAGTCCGGGGGGTAGAACGTTTAGGGGAAAACCACACCCAAAAAGTACGGGGGTATGGAACGTTCAGGGCTATCCACACTCCAGTACGTAGAAGGTGTTATTTTAACGTTTTTAAAATCCAAAAATCCATCCGTAAACAGGTTTTTATGTAACGTTCAACTATCAAAATCCAAAAACAGTACAAAGGGGGTAAGTAAAGTTTTGGGGCTTTTCCACACTCCAAACAGTAGAGGTGGTATTTAACGTTCAGGTATCCACACTCCAACACAGAGCAGGGGGTATGTAAAGTTTTAGGGCTATCCACAAAATCCAAAACAGTAGCAGGTGGTATGTTTAAAGTTAGACTACCCCACTCCCCTACGTAGCAGGGGGTATGTAAAGTTCGACTATCCCCAAATCCAAAACCGAGCAGGTGGTATGTAACCCTTTTGGGAAAACCCAAAACCCAGTACAGAGCAGGGGGTAGTAACGTTCAGACATCCACACTCCGTACAGTAGCGGGGGTTCAACGTTCAGAAATATCCACCCTCCAGTACCCGTAGCAGGTGGTATGGAAAATTCAGATATCCACACTTCCCCAAAACAGTTTGCAGGTGGGGATTTTTTTAAAGTTCAATATCCACACTCCAACACAAGGGAAAGGTGGGATGTTAAAGTTCAAACTATCCACACTCCCGTTTCAGTAGCAGGTGGAGTAAAGTTAGACTACCAATCCATACAGTAGGAAAGGTTTGGGTTTTAACGTTCAGAATATCCCACTCCAGTACGTAGCAGGTGGTAGGAAAAGTTCAACTATCCCACTCCATTTCAGTAGCAGGGGGTAGGTAAAGTTCAACATCCACAACCCCGTACCAAATACAGGTGGGATGTAACGTTCCCCAATTCCCCCCACTCCATTTCCTTTGCAGGTGGGGATGTTTAAAGTTCAGACTATCCACACCCAAAAACAGTTTGAAGGGGGTTTTTGGAACGTTTAACTATCCACAATCCAACATTGCAGGGGGTATGCAACGTTCAGACTTTCCCCCAAATCCAAAACAGAGCAGGGGAATTAAAAGTTCAGGGCTCTACAATCCAGTACAGTAGCAGGGGGTATGTAACCCTTCAGAAATCCACACTTCCCGACAGTAGCAGGTGGGATGTAAAAGTTTTAGACTATCCACACTCCCCCACATAGCAGGTGGGGATGTAACGTTTTAGAAATATTCCCCCAAATCCAGTACAGTAGCAGTTTGGGATTAACGTTCAACTATCCCCCACTCCCAACCCCAGTGGCAGGGGGGTATGTTTAAATTCAGAATATCCACACTCCAAAACAGTAGGAAGGGGGGTAGGGAACGTTCAGGGGCTTCCCCCACTCCAACACCGTAGCAGGGGGGTATTAACGTTGAATCCAACTCCAGTAAGAAAGGTGGATTTAACGTTCAGACTATCCCCACCCATACAGTAGCAGGTGGAGGGAACGTTCGAATCCACATTTGTTTCAGTAGCAGGTGGTATTAAAGTTTTTTGACTTTTCCACACTCCATACGTAGCAGGTGGGATTTAAAATTCAATATCCCCAAAAACCCGTACAGTAGCAGGTGGTATGTAAAGTTCAGACTATCCACACTCCCAACACAGTAGCAGGTGGTATGTAACGTTCAGACTATCCACACTCCAGCACAGTAGCAGGTGGTATGTAACGTTCAGACTATCCACACTCCAACACAGTAGCGGGTTTGGTATGTAACGTTCAGACTATCCACACTCCAGTACAGTAGCAGGTGGTATGAAGTTCAGATATCCCCTCCAGACTATCCACACTCCAACACAGTAGCAGGTGGTATGTAACGTTCAGACTATCCACACTCCAGTACAGTAGCAGGTGGTATGTAACGTTCAGACTATCCACACTCCAACACAGTAGCAGGTGGTATGTAACGTTCAGACTATCCCACACAGTACAGTAGCAGGTGGTTATGGTAACGTTCAGACTATCCACACTCCAGTACCAGTAGCAGGTGGTATGTAACGTTCAGACTATCCACACTCCAGGTACAGTAGCAGGTGGTATGTAACGTTCAGACTATCCACACTCCAGTACAGTAGCAGGTGGTATGTAACGTTCAGACTATCCACACTCCAGTACAGTAGCAGGTGGTATGCAACGTTCAGACTATCCACACTCCAGTACAGTAGCAGGTGGTATGTAACGTTCAGACTATCCACACTCCAACACAGTAGCAGGTTGGTATGTAACGTTCAGACTATCCACAACTCCAGTACCCAGTAGCAGGTGGTATGTAACGTTCAGACTATCCACCACTCCAGTACAGTAGCAGGTGGTATGTAACGTTCAGGACTATCCACACTCCAGTACAGTAGCAGGTGGTATGTAACGTTCAGACTATCCACACTCCAAGTACAGTAGCAGGTGGTATGTAACGTTCAGACTATCCACACTCCAGTACAGTAGCAGGTGGTATGTAACGTTCAGACTATCCACACTCCAGTACAGTAGCAGGTGGTATGTAACGTTCAGACTATCCACACTCCAACACAGTAGCAGGTGGTATGTAACGTTCAGACTATCCACACTCCAGTACAGTAGCAGGTGGTATGCACCTTTTCAGTTTGTTTACAAATATGCTGTCACAGAAGAAGCGATAATGGAAAGATAGCGGGCTCTTTCCAACACCGATGTGTACCCATATACTACACAACACACATTGTCGTGTACCATATACCTGACATCATCGTTGTGCGTGTACCTTTGCGGGTGTTCTCTGTGACGTCGACGCCGAACTGGATGAAGTCACCAGAGAGGACCTCACAGGGAGGACTCTCCTCCGTGCCCCGGCTCAGACGCTGGCTGTTGATAAACGTTCCGTTACTGCTCTTAGTGTCCTGGAGGTAGAACTGAAATACAGAGAGGAGGAATACAAGGTCACGATCCTATAGAGCCAGTTACAATTCTATAGTTTAGGGCTGGGAATTGCCAGGGACCTTACGATACGATATTATCACGATACTTTGGTGCCGATACGATATTCATTACGATGTTCCAAACATATTGCTCACCATATGTCTGCTGCAGAGGGACAAGAGAGAGCCATGACAACACAAGTTTGGAAATATACTGAACAAAATAATAAATGCAACAATTTCAAAAGATTTTACTGAGTTACCGTTCATATAAACAAATATGACGATCCCGCAGGTGAAGAAGCCGGATGTGGAGGTCCTGGGCTGGCGTGGTTACATATGGTTTGCAGTTGTGAGGCCGGTTGGACGTACTGCCAAATTCTCTAAAAACGACGTTAGAGGCGGCTTATGGTAGAGAAATTTAAATTCAATTCTCCGGCAACAGCTCTGGTGGACATTCCTGCAGTCAGTATGCCACTTGCATTGTGTTGTGACAAAACGGCACATTTTAGAGTGTCCTTTTTTTGTCCGCAGCACAAGGTGCACATATGTAATGATGTTTAATCAGCTTCTTGATAATCCATCCAACTGACAGGTGTGGCATATCTTGGCAAAGGAGAAATGCTCACTAATAAGGTATGTAAACAAATTTGTAAACAAAATGAGAGAAATAAGCTTTTCGTGCGTTTGGACAATTTCAGGGATCTTTTATCTTAGCTTATGAAACATGGGACCAACACTTTACATGTTGAGTTTATATTTTTGTTCTGTATAGAATGAAAAATTAAGGCTGATGTTCTGTGGTCAGAGAAGATAGGACGGACACCCGCTACATTATCAGCACGGTCTGGTTTGTCCTTCAAGCAGCGAGAGGGCTTAACTGTAAGTCGCTCTGGATAAGAGCGTCTGCTAAATGACGTAACTGTAAATGTAAATGGATATAGTCTACTGCTTTTTAAAGCAGTACTAGCAGGAAGAGCAAGACTGCATTTCAAGTAAGGGGTGTGTCTACATTCAACTCTAGGCCTGCTGCACCTACAATGCTGTTCAAACTAAGACGTTCAGGTTAATCCCTAGCAACAAGAAGCACAACATGGCACAGACACCTAACTTATAAAACAGCCATTTAAATCTACTTCCGACTAAGTTTCCCAGGGATTTGAGGGAGAGGACTGGGTTATAGCTGCCCCGAAATCAGTTTAACAAACGTACTAGTTGATTATGTAGGCCTACTGATGTGGAGTGGGTGGAGGACAGTAACAGGTATGGTAAACATTCAGAGATAACCACACATTATCTGGCTGTCAACGTTTTAATCACGTTGACCCACTGACATGACCTAGTCCAACTGAAGCCCAGGGTTTCTCAGGTTGGCCGATGTGTGCCAACTGTGCTAAACTGTACCCAGTCCAGGACTCACTGATCGGATGGGTTTCTCAGGTTGGCCGATGTGTGCCAACTGTGCTAAACTGTACCCAGTCCAGGACTCACTGATCGGATGGGTTTCTCAGGTTGGCCGATGTGTGCCAACTGTGCTAAACTGTACCCAGTCCAGGACTCACTGATCGGATGGGTTTCTCAGGTTGGCCGATGTGTGCCAACTGTGCTAAACTGTACCCAGTCCAGGACTCACTGATCGGATGGGTTTCTCAGGTGACCAGGAAGTCCGGTGAGATGAGATGAACCAATACCAGCCCTCTAACTTTCCACTCACAACACTGCCCTGTGAAAGTAACATCAACGCCTGACAACTACAACCTTTTCGTCAAGGAAAACTGTAGCTCAGCTGGTAGAGCATGGCGCTTGTAACGCCAGGGTAGTGGGTTCGATCCCCGGGACCACCCATACGTAAAAAAGTATGCACACATGACTAAGTCGCATTGGATAAAAGCATCTGCTAAATGGCTTATTATTATTATCAAACCTAAACCTATTCTTGGGTGTGTGAATCACGTGCAGCTTCTACTACAGAACTGGATTGATGTTCATGTGGGTACATGAGAAAGGCCTTGGGGGAGGTATGTAATGCATGTAGGGTGGGGTGCCGTCTTGGGTTGTCAATCTAGCAGGCAGCTGGGGGTGTACGTTTGTTTTGTATGTTGGTCTTGCATTAACCGTCTTTATCCAGGCTCATTAGCTTTCTGAGATCCTTAGAGATTTCCTAGCAACTGTGGCCCAGGCAATTTGCAGTGGTATTCAAAGTCCCCAAAACGTTTAAAATGTTTGAGAGAGAGATTTAGAAAAATACTTTTTTATTGAGTAAATGTATTTATTGGTTCCTTTTCATTTTGATAAGAGATGAAAATACAATTAATTTAAGGTTATTGGTTGATATAAAAATCAAACTGTAGAGTTTAGATTAGATTTGGGTCGCAAATAAATTATTGGGGGGAAAATGCACTACTTTGACCCATGGGGAATAGAATGCCATTTGGGAAGCAGACTATAAACCTCCCCTGGATGTCCTGGAAGCAGACTATAAACCTCCCCTGGATGTCCGGGAAGCAGACTATAAACCTCCCCTGGTTGTCCGGGAAGCAGACTATAAACCTCCCCTGGATGTCCGGGAAGCAGACTATAAACCTCCCCTGGATGTCCGGGAAGCAGACTATAAACCTCCCCTGGATGTCCGGGAAGCAGACTATAAACCTCCCCTGGATGTCCGGGAAGCAGACTATAAACCTCCCCTGGATGTCCGGGAAGCAGACTATAAACCTCCCCTGCATGTCCCACGTTCTTATTTATTTAGGAGTTTAACACACAAAGCTGGTGACTGATGTGGTGTACTCCTCAATGCCATCGGATGAATCCCGGAACATATTCCAGTCTGTGCTAGCAAAACAGTCCTGTAGTTTAGCATCCACGTCATCAGACCATTTCCGTATTGAGAGCTTTACTGGTACTTCCTGTGTGAGTTTTTGCTTGTAAGCAGGTATCTGGAAGACATTCAATTCTCTGGCAACAGCTCTGGTGGACATTTCTGCAGTCAGCATGCCAATTGCGCACTCCCTCAAAACTTGAGACGTCTGTGGCATTGTGTTGTGTGATAAAACTGCACATTTTAGAGTGGCCTTTTACTGTTACCAGCACAAGGTGCACCTGTGTAATGATCATGCTGTTTAATCAGCTTCTTGATATGCCACACCTGTCAGGTGGATGGATTATCTTGGCAAAAGATAAATGCTCACTAGCAGGGATGTAAACAAATTTGCACACCAACTTTGAGAGAAATAAGCTTTTTGTGCATATGGAACATTTCTGGGATCTTTTATTTCAGCTCATGAAACATGGGACCAACACTTTACGTTGCGTTTATATTTTTGTTCAGTATAGTTTGGTCTACAGCTTATCATGAGGTATTCTAACTCAGGCGAACAGAACATCGAAACGTCCTTAATATTAGAGATTGTGCTCCACCAGCTGTTGTTAACGAAGAGACACCCCTCCCCCCTAACCTTAACCTGCAGTATGGTCTTGAAGATGCATAGAAAATCCAGCTAGCTGTATATTAGTTATGTCCTTGTTTAACCACGACTCAGAGAAACATAGGAGATTACAGTTCTTCAGGTCCTGTTGATGGGATGGTCTTAAACGCAGCTCATCCAGTTTGCCCTCCAGTGATTGTACGTTCGCCAACAGAACGGAGGGTAGAGGTGGATTATTTATTCGCCAACATAGTTTTGCCAGTCACGTGCCCAAGACCCTGTCTAAATCCCCATCACCCAGTCACGTGCCCAAGACCCTGTCTAAATCCCCATCACCCAGTCACGTACCCAAGACCCTGTCTAAATCCCCATCACCCAGTCACGTGCCCAAGACCCTGTCTAAATCACCATCACCCAGTCACGTGCCCAAGACCCTGTCTAAATCACCATCACCCAGTCACGTGCCCAAGACCCTGTCTAAATCCCCATCACCCAGTCACGTGCCCAAGACCCTGTCTAAATCACCATCACCCCGTCACGTGCCCAAGACCCTGTCTAAATCACCATCACCCAGTCACGTGCCCAAGACCCTGTCTAAATCACCATCACCCAGTCACGTGCCCAAGACCCTGTCTAAATCACCATCACCCAGTCACGTGCCCAAGACCCTGTCTAAATCACCATCACCCCGTCACGTGCCCAAGACCCTGTCTAAATCCCCATCACCCAGTCACGTGCCCAAGACCCTGTCTAAATCACCATCACCCAGTCACGTGCCCAAGACCCTGTCTAAATCCCCCAGTCACGTGCCCAAGACCCTGTCTAAATCCCCATCACCCAGTCACGTGCCCAAGACCCTGTCTAAATCACCATCACCCAGTCACGTGCCCAAGACCCTGTCTAAATCACCATCACCCAGTCACATGCCCAAGACCCTGTCTAAATCACCATCACCCCGTCACGTACCCAAGACCCTGTCTAAATCACCATCACCCCGTCACGTGCCCAAGACCCTGTCTAAATCCCCATCACCCCGTCACGTGCCCAAGACCCTGTCTAAATCACCATCGCCCAGTCACATGCCCAAGACCCTGTCTAAATCACCATCACCCAGTCACGTGCCCAAGACCCTGTCTAAATCACCATCACCCCGTAGCCACTCCCATCCGTAGCCATGAAATGCTTTGAAAGGGTGGTCATGTCTCACATCCCAGAACCACTCCAATTCTCATACCGCCCCAACAGATCAACGGATGACGCAATCTCTATTGCGCTCCACACTGCCCTCTCCCACCTGGAGAAGAGGAACACCTATGTGGAGAATGCTGTTCACTGACTACTGTCCAAGCGCATCACTAAGCTGAAGACCCTGGGACCGAACACCTCCCTCTGCAACTGGATCCTGGACTTCCTGACGGGCCGCCCCCAGGTGGTAAGGGTAGGCAACAACACATCTGCCACGCTGATCCTCAACATAGGGGCCCCTCAGGGGTGCGTGCTGAGTCCCCTCCTGTACTCCCTGTTCACCCATGACTGCATGGCCAAGCATGACTCCAACACCACCATTAATTTGCAGACACAACAGTGGTAGGCCTGATCACCAACGACGATGATACAGACTATAGAGAGAAGGTCAGAGACCTGGCCGTGTGGTGCCAGGACAACGTCTTCCTCAACATCAGCAAGACAAAGGAGCTGATCATGGACTACAGGAAACGGAGGGCCGAGCACGCCCCCAGTCACATTGACGGGGCTGTAGTGGAGTGGGTTGAGAGCTTCAAGTTCCTCGGTGTCCAAATCACTAAGGATCTATCATTGTCCACACACACCCACACAGTCGTGAAGAAGGCACGACAACGCCTCTTCCCCCTCAGGAGGCTGAAAAGATTTGGCGTGGGCTCTCAGACCTCAAAGGTTATACAGCTGCACCATTGAGAGCATCTTGACTGGCTGCATCACCGCCTGGTATGGCAACTGCTTGGCATCCGACCGCAAGGCGCTACAGAGGGTAGTGCGTACGGTCCAGTAAATCACTGGGGCCGAGCACCCTGCCATCCAGGACCTCTATACCAGGCGGTGTCAGAGGAAGGCCCTAAAAATTGTCAAAGACGCCAGCCACCCAAGTCATAGACTGTTCTCTGCTACTACATGGCAAGCGGTACTGATGCACCAAGTCTGGAACGAACAGGACCCTGAACAGCTTCTAACCCTGTGCCATTAAACCCCTACAACTCATCCAGAATGCCGCAGCCCGTCTGGTGTTCAACCTTCCCAAGTTCTCTCACGTCACCCTGCTCCTCCGCACACTCCACTGGCTTCCAGTTGAAGCTCGCATCTGTTACAAGACCATGGTGCTTGCCTATGGAGCAGTGAGGGGAACGGCACCTCCGTACCTTCAGGCTCTGATCAGTCCCTACACCCAAACGAGGGCATTGTGTTCTTCCACCTCTGGCCTGCTGGCTCCCCTTCCTCTGCGGAAGCATAGTTCCCGCTCAGCCCAGTCAAAACTGTTCGCTGCTCTGGCACCCCAATGGTGGAACAAGCTCCCTCACGACGCCAGGACAGCGGAGTCACTCACCACCTTCCGGAGACATTTGAAACCCCACCTCTTTAAGGAATACCTGGGATAGGATAAAGTAATCCTTCTACCCCCCCCCCCCCCCCCCAAAAAAAAAATAAGATATTGTAAAGTGGTTATCCCACTGGCTATAGGGTGAATGCACCTATTTGTAAGTCTCTCTGGATAAGTGTGTCTGCTAAATAACGTAAATGTAAATGTAACCCCAAGCCATAAGACTGATAAATATTTAACCAAATAGCTACCCGGACTATATGCATTGACCCTTGTTGCAACAACTTTGACTCATCACATACGCTGCTGCTACTATTTATTAGTAGGATAGGGGGGGTGGAAGGGAGGTGAGGGTAGGGGAGGTGGAAGGGAGGTGAGGGTAGGTGGAAGGGAGGTGAGGGTAGGGGGGGGGTGGGAAGGGAGGTGAGGGTAGGGGGGGGTGGAAGGGAGGTGAGGGAGGGGAGGGTGGAAGGGAGGTGAGGTGCGGGTAGGGGGGGGGGGGTGGAAGGGAGGTGAGGGTAGGGGGGGGGTGGATAGGGAGGTGAGGGTAGGGGGGTGGGAAGGAAGGGAGGTGAGGGTAGGGGGGTGGGAAGGAAGGGAGGTGAGGGTAGGGGAGGTGGGAAGGAAGGGAGGGTGAGGGTAGGGGAGGTGGGAAGGAAGGAGGTGCGGGTAGGGGAGGTGGGAAGGGAGGGAGGTGAGGGGAGGGTGGGAAGGGAGGGAGGTGAGGGTTAGGGGGGGTGGGGGAGGAAGGGAGGTGGGGGTGAGGGGGGGGGGAAGGAAGGGAGGTGAGGGTAGGGGGGTGGGAAGGAAGGGAGGTGAGGGTAGGGGGGGGGGAAGGGGGGAGGGTAGGGGGGTGGAAGGGAGGGGGGGGCAAGGGAGGGAGGGGAGGTGGAGGGGGTGGGGTGGGGGGGGGGGTGGAAGGGAGGTGAGGGTGAGGGGGGGGTGGAAGGGAGGTGAGGGTAGGGGGGTGGAAGGGAGGTGAGGGTAGGGGGGTGGAAGGGGGGGTGGGGGGGAGGGGGGGTGGAAGGGAGGTGAGGGTAGGGGAGGTGGAAGGGAGGTGAGGGTAGGGGGGGGGAGGAGGGAGGTGGGGGGTGGGGGGGTGGGAAGGAAGGGAGGTGAGGGTGGGGGGGTGGGAAGGAAGGGAGGTGAGGGTAGGGGGGGTGGGAAGGGAGGGAGGTGAGGGGTAGGGGGGTGGGAAGGAAGGGAGGTGAGGGGTAGGGGGGTGGGAAGGAAGGGAGGTGAGGGTAGGGGGTGGGAAGGAAGGGAGGGGGGAGGGTAGGGGGGGGGAAGGAAGGAAGGGGGAGGTGAGGGTTAGGGGGGGTGGGGGAAGGGAGGAGGGAGGTGAGGGGGTAGGGGGAGGTGGGGAGGGAGTGGAGAGGTGAGGGTAGGGGGGGGAAGGGAGGGGGAGGGAGGGGGGTAGGGGGGGGAAGGGAGGTGAGGGTGGGGTGGGAAGGGAGGTGAGGGTAGGGGGGTGGGAGGGGGGAAGGGAGGTGAGGGGAGGAAGGGAGGGGAGGGTAGGGGGGAGTGGAAGGGGGAGGGAGGGGGGGGAAGGGAGGTGAGGGGTAGGGGGGGGGGAAGGGGAGGGGAGGGGGGTAGGAGGGAGGTGAGGGGGTGAGGGGGGGGGGAGGGAGGAAGGGAGGTGAGGAGAGGGGGGTGGAGGAAGGGAGGTGGAGGTGGGGGGGGTGGGAAGGGAGGGAGGGAGGGGGGGTGGGAAGGAAAGGGAGTGGGGAGGTAGGGGGGGTGGAAGGGAGGTGAGGGTAGGGGGGGTGGGAAGGAAGGTGAGGGGGTAGGGGAGTGGGAAGGAAGGTGAGGGTTAGGGGAGTGGGAAGGAAGGTGAGGGTAGGGGGGTGGGAAGGAAGGTGAGGGTAGGGGGGGTGGGAAGGAAGGTAGTAAGGGAGGTGAGGGTGGGAAGGGAGGTGAGGGTGGGAAGGGAGGTGAGGGTAGGGGGGTGGGAAGGAAAGGGAGGTGAGGGTAGGGGGGGGATAAGGGAGGTGAGGATAGGGGGGGTGGGAAAGAAGGTGAGGGTAGGGGGTGGGAAGGAAAGGGAGGTGAGGGTAGGAAGGAAAGGGAGGTGAGGGTAGGGGGGAGGGAGGTGAGGGTAGGGGGGAGGGAGGTGAGGGTAGGGGGGAGGGAGGTGAGGGTAGGGGGGGAAGGGAGGTGAGGGTAGGGGGGGAAGGGAGGTGAGGGTTAGGGGGGGAAGGGAGGTGAGGGTGGGAGGGAAGGTGAGGTAGGGGGGTGGGAAGGGAGGTGAGGGTTGGGAGGGAGGGGAGGGAGGGGGGTGGGAGGGAGGTGAGGGTGGGAGGGAGGTGAGGGTAGGAAGGGAGGTGAGGGTGGGAAGGGAGGTGAGGGTAGGGGGGGTGGGAAGGGAGGTGAGGGTAGGGGGGGAGGTGAGGGTAGGGGGGGAGGTGAGGGTGGGAAGGGAGGTGAGGGTGTTAGCTGACTGGTTGAGAGTAGGACTCACCTTGCCAGTCTTGTGATCGAACCAGACCAGGGCATGGTTCCGTGACAGAACCTTGCAGTCGAACGTCGCATTGTTCTGAGCGGGTCGGCATCGCGCCACAGAGCGCCCGATCTTGACTGGCTCGTCCAGGTAGACATGACGGTCCTGAAAAGGGTGTGAATTCGGACGGCAGGAGAAGACGGCCAGCGCTGAAGGCATTGATATTGTCTTGGGAGTGTTACTCCAACCAGCGATGAAAGACAAGGTTTCTTGATCCAGAATGACTAACTTCCTCGGCTGTTGTGTTAAACCATGTAACCTGGCTATTCTATTTTAATTTAGGCACTACTAGCGAGCTAATCATTTTGACGTGTTCTTCTTTTGATTCAACGAGACACGTAAAACCTCCTGTATAAACGTAACAATTACAAAATAAATATGTCTATCTTTCTACATTACGTCCAGTGAATGACTCAACACGACTACGTACAGGCCACAATACAGCACAGCCACAATCATATGACGATAGTAACAATCTAGAAAATATCTTCCCACGTCCATCAACATGTCTAGCGAGAGAAGCTATATTATGCCGCGCAGGTTAGCGGCAGGCAGCTAATCTTTAGCCCATCGGATACATCCAGATAGCTAGTTCACACAATGTATCTGACCAAGGCTCGGTTTCCTATCCCTGCGCCTGCTGATGATACGGCTAGCCATTGAAACACACCCGCGGCTTAATAGGTCGTCAATAAGTGTTTTTTTCCATAGAGACTGAGTTAATATTAAGTTGTTTACCATACCCACTATGGACAGGTGTGAAATAGTGAGTATCTGAGGTTGTTTGCTAGCTAAAGGGCTACTAGCTAATGCAACCTCTAGCCACTCCCAACTCAGGCAGGCTAGCAGGCTAATATTGAGTTTCAGGGCCCCAAACAGCAACAAATCATTCTAATCGTCAAGCATAATGTTTCCAAACAGCTTCAAAGACAAACCTTAAAACTAAAACGAGTATTATAGAGGTAAGTAGAGATGGATAGGCCTCGTGCAATAACACCGTTAGTTATAAAAAGTAGCTAGCTATATGGCTAGTTAAGCTAACGCGCTAAGAACTTGTCATTTAGCTGGAACAGTAGTCGAGCCTCTTCGGGTGAATAGTCGTGATCAACTGGAAACGCCTGGATGGTGTTACTTTAGGCAAAATGGTGTTATTTTGACAAGCAACTCAAAACGAGTATGCAGTAAACTGGCCTCCTTTCAAAAGTTGACGTTAGCCGAGTCGGAAAGAGGCTAGGTGGTTAGCTGACTGACAGAGCAGACGCTGGCGCATCACCTGTCCAGTAATCTTCTGAAGATTCCAAGAAAAAACATGTTGCGTCGATGTTATAAAATGTCAGTCGAAACACCATCGATCGCAAAAATGTTTCAATTGCAGCTTTCCTTTAGTTTGAACTGGGTAAACCGTCTCCGTCAGTATCCGCCGCCATACTCTACATAACAAACACTAAACCACCGTCCCGCCCAACGGCATTCAGCGCACGCGACATGCACATGACGTCATTGGAGGCAGGAAGTTGACGAACTGCGGTCCAATCAAAAGAGACATGAATGGCACGCTGCAGCGTCCTCTGTAGCTCAGCTGGTAGAGCACGGCGCTTGTAACGACCAGGGTAGTGGGTTCGATCCCCGGGACCACCCATACGTAAAAATGTATGCACACATGACTGTAAGTCGCTTTGGATAAAAGCGTCTGCTAAATGGCTTATTATTATTATGCATCCGGTTTGCAGTTGTCACTAGTTACCACAGCCACAAAGTCAAATTTGGCTAAATCTTTAAAATATAGGAGATAAAAAAAATAAAAATAAGCTTTTGTCTTAATTTAAGGTTAGGTTTAGATTTTAAGAAGATAAATTGACTTCCTGTTTCGGTCGCATGGAGTGAGCACGGAACGCTGAGCCCCCGCTTAAATGTGAATTTACAAGAAGATTCTAAATCTAATCTATTTAATTTATCTGAATTTAGGTAACATTAACGAGTTTCTGTCCCGCGTAAACGGGACAAACAGAAGAAAGAACAATGATCAGAAACCGCAATGGAGGGCACCTATTGCACATTGACTAGAAACCGGGTGGTATACGCTGCAAATTGCAAAGTGGTTTGAGGAGAACACTTACATTTTGTCAAGGCGGAGATGAATGGCGGAGACGCTCACGGAGATGAATGGCGGAGACGCTCACGGAGATGAATGGCGGAGACGCTCACGGAGATGAGTGGCGGAGACGCTCACGGAGATGAGTGGCGGAGACGCTCACGGAGATGAGTGGCGGAGACCGAGGCGCGCGTGGACCACAGTAGATGCATCAATTTAGGCTGCAAGAGTAGGTCACAATCACAGACTGCCATTACGCTACACGGATGTGTTTTGGAACTGATGTCTCTTTCCAGTCATCAAATTGCGGGTGCACAGTTGGGGTTTGGATGCTGACATTATTTTGTGAGTGAACAAATGTGCGCAGGTAGCCTATAGGAGCGCCTTTGTTTAGTGATTGTTTGAAATCAGATGAAAACATCATGACTGGTTGTGTTTATGCTACATTAAAAGGCATAGGCTGCGTGTCCATACGCCTAGGGAAGCTATGTTTTCCCTAAAGTAAATTGAATTAAATAGCCAAAATTAAATAGCCTAATTATATAGCCCAAAAAAAAATATCTGTGGATTGTTTGAAATCGCTTAGCCTACAGTCGGAAGGGCCCGCAATTTGGGCAGCACGCGCTGCAAATACCAAGTAGATGATTGATAAATTGCGACTGTCAGAGAAAAGCAGAGAGACCCAGCCAGGCATATCACAATATTTAAAAATACAATCGCGGAAAAACTGTTTGGAAAGCACATTTATATTGCTGTAAAGAGATGAAGACTCCAATCTGTCTTTTAGTTATCAAAATTCTAAACTTAATCAAGCGAATCTTGAGCCGTATCCCGGGTGAGAAGAATATTCACTGTCTTTTTCATTGGGTCAGTGCCACTTTTGTTTGTTTTTGGACAATAATTTCCTCCTCCAGGTTAGATGGACGTCATGTTGTATATGTGTCTCCTCTTTTCATAGGCCCATTATATGGATCAGACATCCTTTTTATTGGTATGTTTGTCAGCAGAGTAGTCTAAAGTGTCATTTTTGTTGTATAAAAAAAAAATGCGTGCGCGCACTTGGGTGTCCAATTCCCGTAATAAATGAAATCTGCTTTCATCCCTGACAGCAATAGACAACAAGCTCCAACCAAGTCTGGAAATAATGAAGATATCAGTCGCGGAGTGTAATGAGAAGATAGCCATAGTCGATGAATCCATGTCTAAAGTGGATGACAGGGTGACTGAACTGGAAGAATCCCATGCTTCTCTCAGAAGAAAACGCCAAACTTCGTGACAAGCTTGAAGTTTAGGAAATGCACAGTCATAAATGTAATCTTCGTGTCATAGGACTTGATAATGACATCGAAAAAGGAAATCCGATGGCTTACATGACAGCTTTTCTCACATAACTTTATGAGGCTGAGGATCTTCGCGTTGAACCAGCCGTGGAGAACGCACATCGAATTGGACGGAAGAGAAACCATCTGGGCATGCTGACAGACCCCTTATGATGATCGTGAGGATGCAGCGGTACCAGGTCAAACATGCAATCATACAGCTGTCAAGGAAAAAGAGAGCTATGAACTTTCGTGGGATGAAGGTAAAAGATCTTTCCCTACATGACTGCCGTAACGACCAGAAAGAGAGCCCTGTTCAATCATATCAGAACGCACCTACGTGAGGCAGAGATCTAACGGTCTATTTCACCCTGTCAGACTGGAACTACCAAAACCTTTCTTAGCCATCAAGACGCAGAGGCCTATTACAACAATTCCATCAAACCAATTCTGCATAGCAAGTAATTACTATTTTTTCCCGCTACTGATGAGACGCGAGGCTCACTTGTGGGCATGAAAAGGCCTATTGCAGCAGCCTACAAGCAGATCAAATCCTAATGCCCGAAACGAATTAATTAAATAACTGGAGTATAAGGCTATATGGTCTTATTATGAATAAATGTATTCTCTCATAATGTAAATTATTGAGGGTATGATTCATTGTGTCATTCAACTCTCATATACAATGCCTTCGGAAAGTATTCAGACCCCTTGACTTTTTCCACATTTTGTTGTGTTACAGCCTTATTCTAAAATTGATTAAATTGTGTTTTTCCCACATCAATCTACACCCAATACCCCATAATGACAAGGCAAAAACAGGTTTAGACATTTTTGCTCATTTGAGATGTATATATATATATATACATCTCAAATGAGCAAAAATGTCTAAACCTATATATATATATATATATATTTTTTTTTTAAATCGATTTTACATAAGTATTCAGACCATTTACTCAATACTTTGTTGAAGCACCTTTGGCAACGATTACAGCCTCGAATCTTCTTGGGTATGACACTACAAGCTTGGCACACCTGTATTTGGGGAGTTTCTCCCATTCTTCTCCGCAGATCCTCTCAAGCTCTGTCAGGTTGGATGGGGAGCGTTGCTGCACAGCTATTTTCAGGTCTCTCCAGAGATGTTCGATCAGGTTCAAGTCCAGGCTCTGGCTGGGCCACTCAAGGACATTCAGAGACTTGTACCGAAGCCACTCCTGCGTTGTCTTGGCTGTGTGCTTCGGGTCGTTGTCTTGTTGGAAGATGAACCTTCGCCCAAGTCTGAGGTCCTGAGCGCTCTGGAGCAGGTTTTCATCAAGGATCTCTCTATACTTGGCTCCATTCATCTTTTCCACAATCCTGACTAGTCTCCCAGTCGCTGCCACTGAAAAACATCCCCACAGCATGATGCTGCCACCACCATGCTTCACCGTAGGGATGGTGCCAGGTTTCCTCCAGACGTGACGCTTGGCATTCACTGTGTTCTTGGGGTCCTTCAATGCTGCATAAATGTTTTGGTACCCTTCCCCAGATCTGTGCCTCGACACAATCCTGTCTCTGAGCTCTACGGACAATTCTTTCAACCTCATGGCTTGGTTTTTGCTCTGACATGCACTGTCAACTGTGGGACCTTTATATAGACAGGTGTGTGCCTTTCCAAATCATGTCCAATCAATCAATTGAATTTACCACAGGTGGACTCCAATCAAGTTGTAGAAACATCTCAAGGATGATCAATGGAAACAGGA